AGCGAGGAGATACTGCAATGCAATCGGCTTCCAAGCCTTTAATTACTGGTGGCTGGCTACAGGTTTGTTGACAACTGTCAAGGACTGATGCTAATGAAGTGGAAACGATATGCAGTTTTAACACAGTTGATGTGTTACCATCAGTTATACTTTCCCTTCATCAATAGTCAGTAAACTGTTTTGTAACCCCTTGCAATGCAGTAGCTAACTTTATTTAAGACAATGGTCAGTTCAAGCACCCAATCTACTCCAAGCAACGAATTGTTCATATGGTGCACATATAATTACCATGATTGCACCCGACGAACCAATCAATCCAATAACTTGCGTTACTGCTTCCCTGGCCTCCCCGGTCTTCCCTTAAACGCAATAAACTCGGACTTAGAAGCTGTATACCTGTATATATTAAGTATAATGCGCTGGTCACTACTCGACTGAATGAGTTACACAGGAATACACGGAGTTCATGTGTCTATTTTGTCAATCTTATGTTATTACATACTCCCTATGATGTCAAGGACGATGAGCGAGTTAACCATTGATACCACAGGGATAATTTCATAAAACACCCACCTCCTTTGGCTCTGTGGCTGCTGCGTGAGGTGCACGAAGTGGCGAGTTTGATTCAATGTTACAGTTATCGCTTTCAATCGGAGAGATGTCAAAATTTATGCACACGCCATTTCAATACAAAATATTAAGTTTTTAGCTGGAGCCCTCCATCGGCAGAGCGCATGATAAGTTACGTATTTGTCTTTCGGACATTGTACACGATCAATTGGTCGGTCAATCATTCTCTGAAACAACTACGCAATCTCGCACTGAGTGCGTTTGTCATGAATGTCACCAGCGAGGGAGCTGGTACGGGTGGATATTTGGTACACGATTTTGAGAAGAACAGCGCAAAATTTGAGATGGACAAACTGAAATACATGGCGCTGAAACAGCAGCGCAAAAGACAGTAGCACGAAAGAGAAGACACGCCAGCGTCGCATGTGTGATCTCTTTCTTGGTAATCTGCGTTGTAGTTACTCTATATGCTATAGTTTAAATATATATACGCATACTAAAGCGCCTGATTTGTGTGTATCTTTGCTTGTCTGTCGATGTTTTCTTAAATTTGCACTGTTGTCCTCGAGTGATAAAGAGATGACTGTGAATCGCAGGTATTGATTCCCGCTCTCTGCTTCGTCGTTCTGGCCAACGCCGGCGACATTGGCGCACGTGGTATCGGTGGCGTCGGACTGGGTGGTCTCGGCGGAGTTGGACTCGGCGTTGGCCTCGGAGCTGGCGCCTATGGTGGAGCGTACAGAGGAGGCTACGGAGGCTACGGTGGCGGCTACGGCGGTGCCTACCGAGGCGGCTATAGTGGCCTTGTCGGAGGTGGACTTGGTGGCGTCGGCGGATTCGGAGGTGGATACTACGGAGGAGGCAGTCGTGGATACTACGGAGGCGGAGTAAGTAAAGTACAGCAGGAAAAAACGACGAAGGTTAAGTCGTATCTTGCAGTCATTTGTTGTACAAACATGTTCATGGCGGTGAAGGGCCGAGAACAACGGAGGCCCTAGAACGGCACACAAGGCATTCCAAAGTATACGTTCTTTTTAGTGCTTCGCGTTCATGAACGTATGCCGATTGGCTGTCATTCCCCGTATGTGTTAACCGTATTCAGAACAATAATACGAAGGGGATAGCTAAGCTTTTGGCGTTTTTCGAGTCGCTGGTTAGTCTGCTACCGCGGGTTAAAGTTGGGCCTGTTCATTGTGGGATACCAGTAAGGAGGCCGCAGAGGCCCCACCCTCTACCGAAGCGTGACCACCGATCGCTATACCACGATTAAACAAATATTCCCGGTCACGCACTCGGCAAATGTTCTCCCGAGGCGGGGTTAGAAGCCGTCCCTCTCATGGCGTCTGCCTGAAGTGCGCGTCCCAAGGAGGCAGGCTTCAGCCTTTGAGGAGAAAATGTCGCGTACATCTAAAGTCGAGTCCGGCTTACAGTGTTAATTTTCGACCACCTCCGCAGGGCTACAGGTCGTACGCTGATGAGACGCCCAAGCCGTACAACTTCGGCTACGTAGCCCAGGGCCCCGACGGTACCAGCTCCCGCCAGGAGGTCGCCGACGGCAACGGCAGCGTCCAGGGTGTCTACACCATCAACACAGCCGAGGGTGGCCAGAGGACGGTCAAGTACGCCGCCGACGCTGCTGGATTCCGCGCCAGTGTCGACACCAACGAGCCCGGCACTCAGAACGAGAGCCCCGCTGACGTGGCTCTCCGGTCTGCTCAGCCACCCGCGTCCGAGTTGGCGGCTAAGTACGGCCCTGCCGGAGGAGCCGGTGGATACAGGTCCCGTGGATACGGAGGAGCCGGCTATGGCGGAGTCTACGGTGGCGCCTACGGTGGTTACGGAAGCGGATACGGTCTTGGTGGCCTCGGTGGTGTCGGCGGCGGCTACGGTGTTGGAGGATACAGCGGTGCCGTAGGGGGACTCTATGGCGGAGCTGGCGTCTTCCGCGGCGTTGGAGGGCATGGGAAGCACGGCCACGGCTGGCAGTGAACAAGGATTGTTGAATACCTCGTCATTGTTTGGTTCGGGACTCGCTCCACTGAGCACGAGAGTGGGCCCACCCCTCTTTGGTCGAGTTATGCTCCATCCCCTTCCGTTCTAGTGTCCTGTACAGGTGTTGGAATGTATTGTCGCGTGTTTTGTTGGAACCGCTGTCTGGAATTTATTCAAGATGTCAGGCCGCTCCTGGGGATCTGCAGCTCAAGGTGTTGGTACAAACACACTGTGGCCTTCATTTTTGTTGTCTTTTGGGAAATAAACGCACTTTCAATGTCGAATAGATCTCGCCTTTCCTTTTCTTAAGACTTCAGGGAATGAAATTCACCAGAGGCTTTGTGGGCAATGCACAATTACGGTATTCTTGGCACCGACAAGGACAATCAGTGTCGAAAGCAATCACATGACTAGACAGCCAGCCGCTCCTAGCACTTGTAGATGAAATAATGGACTACAATCCTCTCCAACCATCGGGTCAAAACTCAGTGAAAGCACTTATGTTTTTTTTAAATACAGTCGGCTTGTACGAGCGCCTTTGATTGCATCATGACGTCCGCGTAAGAGCACACGTACTTTAACGGTGTCGTGCTTTCGCTTATTTATATTTCCCTTTCTCTCTCTCAGCGTGGAATAGCAAACCAACCGCTCCATTCATCTATATATCCATCCCAACCAATTTCATCCCATGTTATCTCATCTAATCCCATCTCATCTTGTCTCATCCCACAGAATGATTGATGCGTGTGGTTTAACGTCCCAAAACCACCATATGATTATGAGAGACGCCGTAATGGAGGGCTCCGGAAGTTTCGATCACTTGAGGTTCTTTAACGTGCACCCAAATCTGAGCACACGGGCCTATAACATTTCCGCCTCCATCGGAAATTCAGCCGCCGCAGCCGAGATTCGATCCCACGACCTGCGGGTCAGCAGCCGAGTGCCTTAGCCACTAGACTACCGCGGCGGGGCTCATCCCACAAACTTGACCATTTCGTTCAAAGCGCTCCGTATAGTCACTTACAAGCGCGCCAAAAGTACAAAATGTTGAAAGCATTTGAGCATGTCTTGGAACCAAGGCACTTTATGTGCATAGCCCAATAATTTCGGATTTGTTATACTTACCTTGTTCTATAACAAAATTCGCTGTGTAGAACATCAAAAGAAACTTTTTAGCTATAGCAGGCGAGTATACAGGAATCGAATGCGGTACCTGCAGATTCCGATAGCCTGATGCCGTCATACCAAATAAACAGTGAGCTCGTCAAAAAAAAAAGGGGGGGGGGGAGGTATTTTGGTGAAGCGAGAGCTAACGACGAAATGCCGAGTATCGAATGGTTCTCCGCGCTTGCTGGGTATACCACAGTGATTAGTGTTCAGGAAACCTGCCACTCCACGCGCAATGGCCCGTGCACACGCAAGCACGCGCTTTCAGCCGCTTCTCAACACCGTTCTAAGCATGACAGATTGTCTTAACGTCACGAGGAGCCCGACACACTCCAAGCGAGCACAACCCAGCGCGAGAATCTCAAGGACGCTGCGGCGTCACCGGAGCGGGCTAACTCGGTCAGGATATGATCACAGCGACGTTGATGCTATCAAGTGCTATGCGAACGGCTCATCCCTCTTGGCAGGAATGTACGCCGCAAACCCTCGGCGCACCACTGCCCCAGACCCGGCGTGATGTCTCAAGGACGTGCTACAAGAGAAACGGAAGCGAAGTTGATGCACGTATACGCACGAACAAACTACACCCTGAGGACAGATGCACAGACCTGTTGTCACGCACAAACAGGAAACAGACGCGGATATGCACGCACTACATACACGCCCGCCGCGAAAAAAACTCCTCCGTGTCTGAGTCCGTGAACAATGCGGGTCTTTTCGCCTCCAGTGTTGTGTGTAGTTTGTTTGGTTGACAGCGGCCCGCGCATCTCAGACGCTAGAGCGCGAAAGCGCTGTCGCTTCTTTGGGCGAGCGTTATATGCGTGTGTGTGCGGTGTCGCTTCTTGGCGCGAGGGTTATGTGCGTGTGTGAGCGTACTCAGGTATGCATGCACGTTCATACAGCGCGTGCGTGCGTGTGTGCGTGCGTGAGCGTGCGCGTGAGTCAGAGCGATTCTTTCTCTCTTCTTTAACTTCCACGCTTGTCTCTTCTTCTTTCGATCACGTAACATTCGGCCGCCAAAGGGCGTAGGAATGGCGTTTCTCCCACAGAACCAAAACAAAAAGAGAGAAAAACGCACGGAGGGGCTTCTTTCTTTTGTCGTTTACTGTATAGCGTCTCCGTTCTTTCGGGGAGCACTGCCAAAGCAAGCAGGCACCGCCATGTCTTCCGCCCCAGCACATATCGTCGCATACGCTGCCTTTCCGGAGGAGTACTCTGCCCCCTCACCGCTCCTCAACAGACCTGGCGATGCACCTCCTATATAAGTTCGGGACGGAGACGCTAGTTTCGCAGTGCTCATCCTTGTATCGGAACGTTGCAGTTCGGTGCATATAACCCGCGTCTTTACGTGTGCTTGGCGTTAGCGAAAAAGAAGGATCAAGCAAAATCATGTTAAAGGTGAGTTTCTCAGCGGCCTGTCACCTAGTGCCACCTTAAGGACCCTGGATATCGTCGGTGTCGTCGTCTGTTGGGAGATTGTCCTCACCGATCATTCCCTGTTGCCGCTGCGCTTTATTACTATCGTCTTCTTTTTTCTTTTTTTTTCCTTCCCGGCCAAGTGGCGTGTGGTTACCGGATGCGCGCTATTGATATCGAGGCATATAATATTTATTACTGTGTGACGGAAGGAGCGACCAAAGAGAGTGTAGTTTAGGTACCCAGGTGATTTTGGCAGCGAAGTCCACATGAAGAACGTGAACCTTCATAACCAGTTAGCTGGAGGCTTCGCCCTATTCCCGGGGAGAAAGCACTTAAGGTTTTCCCCGAGAGAAAAGCCTTTGTAAAGCAACGAATGGAAAGCTTGGTAAAATACATACTACAGAATTATGGCTTACTCCTTTGCTTTGGTTATGTTCAGCTGGCGTTAAGAGGTGCCACGACATCTGCACGTGTTTTCTGTAAGTGTAGAAAGCGCCTTCGAATTACGTTAGTTGCTTAGTTCACGCCAATTAATAGTCATACTGACCTCCTCTCGTCTCATTGCTTTCTTTTAAAACATAGCCAGCTCATACCACGGCAATAACGCCTTAAAGTGCGCTCTTTGAAGATAGAACTCGTATTGTTCTTCCCTTGTGAGTGCATATGTCAACGCACTGTTTTAGATATGTTACAGCGCAGCGCAGATGCTGCTGTTAACCTGGTATTAATTATTCTGATAAAAGTAAAAACGCGAACTGAATATACCGAATAGCAATGGCATCGGAATGCATGCCAACTGACCCGATTTTCCACCCTTCTGATATTCGCTCACTGCCATCGCTTCTAAATATTGGATTATATTTCGACAACCCCGAAAGAAAAGTTAAGTACGCTTGGTCACCTCAGTCACCGAAGGCTCGTCGACAGTGTTCCCCCTATTTGTGAAGTGCTGGTCATGTAATACAACATCAAGGTCCACCTTTCTCCAATTTTCTGGTCCCTATAGGACGCGTCCTATAAATTGTGACATGTATTTTCCCCGTTCACAACCTAAAAACGACTCATACAGCCTTCAAAAGGCACGTAAGGTCCATGAAGGTTTCGGAGCCACCCCTCCCCTTGCTTGCATCTGGACTAAGCCATGAGCGTAGGATTGCAAAAGCTCAAAAAATGGCTCTCTGAATTAATAATAACATTTGAGGTGTAACGTCCCGGAACCACCGTATTGATTGTGAGAGGCGCCGCAGTGGAGGGCTCAGGAAATTTCGACTGCCCGAGGTTCTCTTACGTGCACCTAAATCTAAGCACCGGCGGACCTCAAGCATGTTCGCCTCTATTGAAAATGCGCCCTCCGCGGCCTGCATTCGATCCCGCGACCTGCGGGTCAGCAGCCGAGTGTCTTGACCTCTAGACCACTATGGCGGGTCAGCTATATAAATTGAATGATCGATAGACTTACTTATTTAGTTATTTATTTATTTTTAATAAAGTGCCAGGGGCAGTACAACCTGATGCATCGTAAGTCGCAGTTATTCGTGTGATACAAATTATATCGCAATGCCCTGTAATGCAAAAGCAATGTCATCCCACGCATTTGAAGAACTTGAAGGAGAGAGCGAGAAAGAGTATGAAGATAGAAAAAAGCCAGGTAGGGTAACCGGGGCTGAGTCCAACAGGTTACCCCTCTCTTGAAAGGAGGGGAATCTTAGTGGAAATTAAAGAAAACTGCAAAGCGAGAGAGGAGGAAAGGCACAGGACAGGTTGGACGCTGGAGTCCTGCCTGTCCTATTCATAAAATTATTCAAAGTTTTATTAATCACCGGTAATGCATGAAAAAGCTATTTTAGAGCTGGCACAGCCTTCTGTTTTATGCTTTCAAGTCATATCCCCCACAGTATTCGTTGGATTCACTGCAGAAAAGAACAAAAAGGTGTGTTAAAGTACGATGAAATGTGTGACGTGATGGCTGTCGAACCACAAACGGCGCTGTTTTGCTCGGGTGCAATGAAGACAGATATTCGGGACTTAAATAAGTGGTCAGTCGTTATTCCGATTACACCAAGAATTTGTTTTATTTTTTATCTAGTGTTGTTATTGTATGCTTAATACAAGATCGAATTATTCAGGTTGATTATCACTCATGCGACAGGGTTAAGGGGAGCTGAGAAAAATGGCCGGGGGGGGGGGGGGATGACTTGTCCTAATAACTAATAACGTGGCGTCTTGCACTCGGTTATTTATATAACACTAAAATGAAGGTCACATGCGTGTAACTTTGCGTTTTATATTTATATAACACTAAAATTTTTATATAACACTAAAATTAAGGACACATGCGTGTAACTTTGCGTTTTATACTGACCATATATACAGTTTAAACAAGCATTAAAAAGTTGGATAGAGTCACGTCGCGTTTGTGAACCTGGTTAGGCATCCTTTCCAGACTCGGTTGGTAATGTTTAGCCAGAAAATATTAATTGCTGTAACATAACCTGATGAGACAAAATTCTTCTTCAATTTCGCGCCCGAACGACATCCCCGTTAAGTCATGAGGACCATGCAGTTCTATGGTCCACGTCAACAGTTCCACGTCAGAGTTCCGCATTATTTCGCGTACTTGAGGCGTCTTTTGTTAAAAATTAATAATAAAGACGACAATAGAGGTATTCGAAACTTTCATGGTAGAGCTTCGGGCTCTTTTATGATACATTCTAACGAACTCACGCATCAAAAGCTTGCAACCTCGTGAGCCTGTGGCTCGGCAACTACAAGAGACGGTGTCGCCGCCAGTCTTTTTTGTCTTCACGCATTTTCAATTCCGATAACGGGCTCTTTCCATAACTCGCAAGTGCGCTTCTCTTCCCTGCATATTGAACGTGCAATGGCGGGACCTATCGTGCTTCAAGCGGAGACTTGATCTCAGTTGAACGCGCTGGGCCTTGTCTATTATAAGTGTTTGTATCAAGAGAGCCGACTCAACATTTTACACGTCATTGCGTAAGTAAACAGAGTGCTTGAACAGGCTATTCGAACTAAATGTCGAGCCGCCATTACGTGTTTCAACTGCATAGCAGGAAAGCTAACTTTACAATTTCGAAAAGGATATATACATACACGACAATGCAGATATTTCTTGTTCATGCTTCATAAAATAGATGTGTTTACGGTGATTCAATATCGTCCGTAATGAACGGGCATTGCGCCCGTGAAGCGAAATGGGAGCATTTACGAGAAATGTATCCGATTGGTGGCGACTTCGCAAGCTGTCTATATATAGCACTACAATAAATTAGTGCATCGATAGCCGTCACTGATGATCACGACGCAGTAGCGACGATGATGATAATTACGCTCGCAATGTCTAACGACCCAAGGTGCAACACGTGCTTTCAAAAACGCCTTAGCGCTGCCGATTCATTTTGACTGACGGAAATTTACAAGCATGTTCAACGATCCCGCTTGCTTGCCGTCGCAAATGCGACAAGCATGTCGGCAATTACACTGGTGACCTCGAGCTCCAAATAATGCATTTAAGTGTCAGGCAAGTCCGTGTGTTACGCATATTGTAAGTTAAATTCTGAAACCCATCTCACAATATCTCGGTTATTCGTAATTCGCGTAAAGATTTTTGAGCTCTGAAATTTGGGGAAGAGCTCACTATAATGTTAGCTATACACAGGTACGGGAAGACAGCCAGGGTCTTATTTTTGGACATTTCAGTAATGTATTGTGTCAGGTGTTAAATGTTATTCGTTTTAATGTTGTAATGTGTAGTGTACGACACAGTACAAATATTCGTTCACATTGTGCTCGTAGCAGTGATGGGCTGTATCGAGCGGAGCGGCGCTTCAATATTGCCTGCGTGTTTGTTTCTCGCAGACTGCCGTCGTTGCGTTGTGCTTCGTCCAATGGGCCAGCTGCCAGTTCCCGCCGTTCCCGCAGCGATTCGTGAGTATCGACGAGGTCCACCATATCACTTCCAGTTTCTTCACGGAAAAATAAGGCGAAGGGGACCAGGGAGGCGTTCTGTAAACGCCTTCTCAAGTCTGTAAACTTGGCACTGCGCCGTGCTCCCGACCGGGTTGCAGAAATTCGGTGCCTTTTCTCATCTTCTAACCACTACCACCACCAAGTCTGTAAACGTCTTCTCAGGGCTGCCGAAATTAGGCGCCTTCTTCTCCTTCTAACCACAATACTCGCGAGGACAACTTTCTGTGGCAATAAAGGAAAGGCTACGTGGGCGGAGCTATGCTCCTGTACTCCTCCACGATGTATAGTCCGCTTCGGCTCGCGTTACGAATGACAGCCGCGTTCATGCAATTCCACTGAAGACAATGTTATACGCCTCCTTACACAGCCATTTGTGGGTGAAAGTCGACACAAGATAACCTTCGGCCGAGTCGTCCGAATAGCTGGAGGGCGACGCGCGCTCGCCTTAAGACGAGGACGCCATTTTGACTGTAAGGTGCACGTGAAACGTGCGGCGTTTTTCAGACGCGCAAAAACGTGAAATGACTCTTCAGAAAGCAACAATAAATAATGGTATCTCCCCGGCGCGTACAGCGTCTCTTTATAAACGGCATCTAGTACAAAATAGTATTGTTCTTTTTTATTACTCTCACGCGGGAAACATGGACGCAATCGTGGCACGATATTCCAGAGCGGTGGCACATGCCCACTTTGCCTCCGTAGCCTTCTTTTCATTGCCACAGAAAGTTGTCCCCGAGTATAGCACCAAGTCAGATGATTTCAACAGTAATGAATGTTAGAGGCGCGTACAGAAGAAATAGAGCAGCAGACGCACACAGAGCTGTGTGTGCGTCCCGTTTTTTGTCCAGCCTATCGTTTTTTGCGCTGTTCTTTAAAGTATGTACAGAGTCAAGCCGGCAAAAGTATTTCAAGCCGACAAAAGTAGAAGGTTTATTTTAGTTTACGAGATAAATGTACGTTGTGTCACGTAAAATTGTGCTATCTTAAACACAAGAACTCAGAGAACCACTTATGACATTCGCCTAAGACGACTGGAAGGCGGAAGCCTTAGACGCCTTATCGACCGCGAAAATTTATCAGCGTCCCACGTCGGCAACGTCCCACGGCATCGTCGCCAACATGAGTGACGCAAAAAATAGATAATCACGTGATAACGTCTCACATGACATCATCCTGATGTCACCAATGGACAAATAATGTGACATGTTCATGACGACTGCCGTCATCACGTGCATCGAGACTTGCTCAAAGATGGGCGGGCCGATCACGGTGGATTGCAAGACCAGGTGAGGTGCCTGGTCTACAAGAAGAAGAAGAAGGTCGCTTCCACCTTCGAGTTGTTCTATAGGTGAACGCGTAAGAGACGCTGTGATTTTTTTCTCTTTTCAGTCGATGTATTGATTCAGGCATTTAGAGTCACTTAAGGCTTTCGCCTTAATAACGAATTTCGGAGTTATGTGAACTTTTATGAGATACCCAATACCGATGAGAAGTTAAACCTGAATGTAGACGACCCTGCACAACCAACAAGATCAACTGTTCGCATATTTAAAAGAGTAATTGTTGGAGTGTAACTTCCCAAGACCACGATAGTATTATGAGGGACGTCGTAGTGGAGGGCTTCGGAAATTTCGACCACCTGAGGTTCTTTAACGTGCGCTTAATGTGGCCTCAAACATTTTTCGCCTCCATCGAAGGTGAGACCACTGAAGCCGGCATCCGATCCCGCGACCATCGAGTCAGCAGTCAAGCACCATACACGCTCGCCGTGGCGGGTGCGCACTTTTCATGTGTATTATAAAAAAAACTGGTCTATAGCCTATCACACTGAAGTGCATCCATCTGTTGTTGTTTTTTCTGCAGCTTCCGCAAACGTTGCCGAAGCCCGTGCTCGTGCCAGTGGTGCCCGGTGGTGGCGCCGGCAATCCCCTGGGCTGGTCACCGTACAGCTTCGCCTACGACGCGCCGGGAGCGGACGGCTCTAGCAGCCGAAGCGAGTCCGGCGACGCGCAGGGCCGGGTCACGGGCTTCTACACCATCACCACGGCGGAGGGGTCGCGACGCCGCGTCAGCTACGTGGCCGACGAGAACGGATTCCGCGCCACCGTAGACACCAACGAGCACGGCACCGCCGACGAGTCGCCGGCCGACGTCGTCTGGAGGTGAGCGCCGCGTAAACGTGTGAACCTTTGCGACAGCAACTATACGGACACTTTCAGCGGATTTTGTCCGTCGCCGTGATGTCCCGTAAACGTCCAGATCGGTAACATCACCTCACGCATCGCACGTTCGATGCGCGAGCAAAAGTGCACGCGCGTTGAGGTGTGGGAAAACGGGGGACGCGGCTGATCGAAGCAGAGATGAAACGAGTCGCCAATCTCTGTCGCACGAGGGCGCATGCGACATCACTCCGCGGGTGAGGTCTGCCGTCGATCGCTGCTCAAGCGGAGAGGAAACGACCCGCCCGTCTTTCGTCGAGCGGAGGAGCATGAAGGGTTGTCTGTAGACGGGAAGGGGGAGATGCTCTGCGCTGCTCGAGCAGCAACTGCGCGAGCTGCAATAGAGAGTTTTAGTACTGCGTACGCTGCGTACGTGGCGGCGTTGCGTACGTGGCGGCGTTGCGTACGTAAGGACGCCATGTTCTGCATAGTGCGCATGCGTAGACCACAACGCGGACGTATCACATTACGTACGCAGCCGCTACGTACGCACGCATGAGATGCATGCGTGCGTACTTATGAGGTGATCGCGCCGCTCTTGAACAAGTTCGCGACAGCGCGAGACCGTTTTGCAAAATGGCGGCATCGAAGGCAAGCACCGACTGGCTCTGTGGCTTAAAATATGGCCATAATCTGGCTATAACACTTGGATTGGCTCACATTGGCTGTCAACAACACGTGCTTCTATTTTGATCTACCAGATGGCGCAACACGCTTCACGCTCGTTACGTACGCGGGTACTACGGCGTACTAAAAGCCGATTAGTGGCAAACGACGCCCCGTAACGCAAGGCGCTTGCGTGATGCGTACGTAGCACCATTCCGCAGTACTAAAACTCTCTAATATCAGAAGGGCGTAGTAGCGAGAGCCGGCGCTCAACGGCGCGGCAGACATCAGAGATCTCGACAGGCATCAGTTGTGCATGCTGTATACACTGACCGTTTACTTTCCGTTGAAACGACAGACAGCGTGAAGACCGCTGCGCTCGCTGAAGCGGCCGTATTCATTTAACGCGTTTTGTAGAGTTGCGTGAGTTCGTATCCGTACAAACTTGTTGCTGTCGCATTTAATGTTTCACCCTTCCGGCGAAACTGTGATTTCTTTTTTTTTTAGATTGTGAAATCGTAGGCGTCAGTTTCAAATTTTACCGAGTTGAAAATGGGAGGAGGGGGGGGGGGGAAACGGCACTAACCAGCGCTGGCCTACTATAGCTAACATTAGCCAGACGTTCAAAAGAAACTGCAAAAGACGTCCACTGTAACCTTACAGCCTTCAAAAAGATAAGTCCGCTTTTCTAAACGTCCGCTCCAGCACCGTGTACTCCCCGTTTTCGAATTTCACAATAGCCCGACGCACATATATGTAAGAGCCTCACTGTGATTCCGCCATCTTGTAAAATTCCGCAATGGCCGTTTAGGCCGCAGAGGCCGCAGCAGCCCTATAAACCAAGGAGAGTTTACAAGATGGCTAATTTGACAACATCGCGGAATTTAGAGTCAAAAATAGCATACCTGCACGTTTTAGTTGTGTGAGAGCAACTTAGAAGGTATACGCTCTTCCACAAACTATGTACTTCCGTTTTCGAACTAATTGAAGTTGCATCCAATACATTTGCGCTTGTGAATTGCAGGCGCGACGTCTAGCCGAGACTGCAGCAAGGTTATGGTTATAAGTTGGTCAAGAGCTCCATTAGCACGCCTGGGGCGTGGCGCACATGCCGTTGACCTATCTCTGTAGCGCACTCCACACGATCCCTTTGTTTGCTACAAAGATGATGACTTGACTACTGGTGCTAACAGCTGAACGGAATTCACGGTGGCTAGAAAGTGGGACGATCGAGGGTGCCCGTCAAGCCTCATACTCATATATCGCAGTTTTGCTATAACCTTGAGGCAGGCCGTATGAAAAAAAAAAAACAACTTTTCTTTTTATGTGTGTGCTATAGGTGGGGGGGGGGGGGGGGTATAACCAGCCTTCTATGTATGTTAGACTGCCTGTTTAATGATAATATCTGGAGTTTTACGTCCCAAAACCACAATAGTATTATGAGAGAACGCCGTATATAGTGGAGGGCTCCGCATTTTCAATTTGACATAGCACAGTACATGGGCTTCTACCGTTTCGCCTCCATTGAAATGGGACAGCAGCGGTTGAGATCTGACCCATGAGCTGCGGGTCAGCAGCCGAGCATATGGTCCACCAAAATGCGCTCGTGTGGGTGCTTGTATGAACGCATGTATATATATATATATATATATATATATATATATATATATATATATATATATATATATATATATATATATATATATATATATATATATATATATATATATATATATATATATATATATATAATAGAAAATTTTCGGGAAGGGGTTGGCGTAGGCTTTAAGTGAAAACTAAATTTTAATACTCGAACAATTAACAATTTCCTCTGCGCACTTACATTTAAGCAACCAGTCACTGTTCCAGCTGGTAACGTGCGCATTGCGACCCGCTTCGATTATTCTCGGCTAGAGCGGGCCATTGTGTTCTCGGATCCGGAGATAAGGGAGCTGCTCCTCTCGCAACGCGACGCGTGATCTTCCGTCACGACTCTTGTTGGTGTAAAGTATCGCAACTCGATCCTTGCTGCTACTCTACAGTTTAGGTAGTTCTCTTGGCGCCGTTTAGTATAAAGATGTCTGCAAAAGGCTCGATCTGAGCGCCGAGCGATCGGTGTGGTTTGCCACAGGGGGCATAGGCGCGGGCAGGGTTCTGCATTCAAGGTGGGAGATGGGAAGGGGGGGGGGGATCAAGCTTTATTGCTGCCGCTCCCCTCTCCCGTTGGTCGAGTCCCATAGAAAGCAAACTTCACAGCGGATGCAATGATGAAGATGAAGCGATCATAAGCTTCATAAAATGACCGATGATCCGATGATATGCATCTTATAAGTGAGAGGGGGTATAGTGAAAAGTCTGCCTCTTGCATTCACTCAATAAACCCCTCCCTCGAAGGGAAATGCTACGCACGCCTATGCCCCTTTGTTTGAATTTCTAGTAGACGTCAATATATATTTATGCGACAGTGGTGTCCGAGAGCCACGTCCTCCACAGCAGACTGCCGAACATTAAATGTACTCGATACACATGGGAATACGCGCTCAATGGTAGAAAAAAAAATTACGCATGCCTGCAGTGATTTTCGTCGTTATTTTATACTATACGCGGTTCAGAAAATTTCATGCGCTGTACCACAACCTAGACGAAACGTAAAACAGTTGGTTAAACTTGGCTACCCTTAGTACGCATATGTTTATTTATTTATTTATTTATTTATTTATTTATTTATTTATTTGAATACTTTCCATGCCCGAAGGCTTTACAGAAAGGAGTGGGGGTTATACGACAAAAAGTAAGCGAAATGTTACAATTGCTGCAAAATGGAGAGTTTGAAGTTTGCAGGGTCGATGAGTGATGCGGTGGCAGCGGAAAGGCAGTTCCAGTCTTTGCTTGTTCTGGGAATGAAGGAATCACTGTAGTGGTTTGTTCGGCGAAATGGCACACCTACTTTAAAGCAATGATCGAAACGAGGTGAAATGTAAGAGGGGGAAGAGAGAAGGCTCTCTTTTAAAGATGTTCTCATGCTCCCCGCTTTTGCTGCAGGTCTACCGCGCCAAAGGTTCACGGCGGCGGCATAACGCGACCAGGGGGCGCTGCCGGAGCCCAGGCCGCCTTCTATCCCGCCGGAGGACAGCAACAGCAGCAGCAGCAGCAGCAGGCCTTCCAGTATCCCTTCTCCAAGGCGTGAAGAGACCCGGGCTACCGCTGTTAAAGCCACGAATCGAGACGAGTGCGTCGTGGGGAGAGTCCGAATGATGGCCGGCATGCGTCGAACGGGCTCGGAGACTCGCACGCGGAGTCAGTATAGCGCGAAAGCTCGCATGCGGTCACGCGACACGAATGGTGCGAGAGGCGCCTAATAAAAATTCATCCAGACACACCTGATCGTTTGCTCAAATCTACCACTAGGGTATAGTATTGTTATCCTTTGTCCACAAAATTTAGGTAACTGACACTGTAAGCGTCATGCGTATTAATATCTCCATGTCAAGTAGGACATAGTCAAAACTTTCCAGGGGGAGGGGGTACGGGGTCCGACACGCCTCAATGCATATGTTGGTTCGAGTGTTTTTTACAAACACAAAAATGCAAAATTTTCCGAGGGGGAGGCAGTATGTGTGATCCTTAATCACACACTGACTATACCATTAAATCAATTGATGGTAATATGAAGGCGAGAGTATTTGAATATAGGTTCGTGCTTCTATTGTAACAGGTCAACACGTTAATGCTTCTGCAGATGCGTACGTTGTCGTTTTTTCTTCCAGTTTTTTTTTTGTAAAGTCATATTTTTCCTAACAATGGTGCAAGTAAGTCTACTGACCTCGCTGGACCAGCATTCTGTCGTTACCGAGCTTTAACTACAGCATAGAGGGAACGAGTTCAACAATCGAGCAGCGGCGTGCACTTTACATAATGCTGTGGTTAACCACAACGTGCTACCCAGTTTTAATTGAGCCATGTACTGTGGTTTAGCACAATCTCACAACAGGTACAGTGTAATACACCGTAGTTCAGGGTGTTGTCAAATGACGTCATATTATGACGCTGGACCTGATGCCAGCTATATGATTGGTCCAGGGAGCTGCAACGGTTTCTGCGATTGGCTCAAGGTGGAATTCGACAGCCACGGGTTTTTAATAGTATGACAGTTGACCATTGCTAATGAAAAAAAAAAGGAATGAATGAATGAATGTGTTTCTCAATTTATCTTTAAAAATAGATACATAATATGCATGATCAGCAGGTATAAGCGGAAAGCATTCGATTATTTCAATAAAAGCAATGTACGCTTTGGTTCGCCTCAGTGTCACAATAATTCGCCACCCAATCAATACACATATACTTGTACTCGTCGCATGCGCCTTTTATTACAGTGTACTTTACGCCTGCTAGCATGCGAAGTTGATTCTTTACAAACACATTGATAAAAGATGCTGCTGCTCAACACATAGGCATTGTGTTTCGTAGCCTCTTCAACCCTACAAAAATAAAAACGCCCACGAACGCACAAGGACTACCTGGCGACAATCCACCGATAAGGTGCGCTGGGGCACGGCGCGAGACCGGAGTTGTTACAGAATTAAAATTGGATGAACGATTGCGACTTAACAATTCCGAGGATAATAACCGAACCAAGCTAGAGTTCTCTTCGGTATCACGTAATAACTATTAACACTGCTTTTTTGACCGTAATGACTTGCACTTCTTCCTTGCATTTCTTTTTTCCATAGACATTCGCCCCTGGAATAAATTTTCTCCTGCCCATGCGTCTGTCTGCTCGATTTTTAAACTGCGCACAATCATCTTTCCTTGCGAAGGCGGCCCCGTATCCGCAGTATCCAACAATAAACAAAAAGAAAGAAACAAAGAAAGAAAGAAAGAAAGAAAGAAAGAAAGAAAGAAAGAAAGAAAGAAAGAGAAACGATTAAGTGAGGGCAAGTGAATCTTTGCGTCTGACATACAGCTTTTCTTTCTTTTAGGAGTAGACCGCACTAGTCCCTCCGTCCACAAACCACCGCCCGGCGTCTACAGTGACTGTAGAAACGGGAACGTCTATCAAACACAAAATGTTATTGAACGGCTGTTAGCCAGAACAAACAAACTAAAAGGCCGCAACAACGAATAACATCGACATTTGATCACCCATCAATGAAAGCATATGGCAGAACAAAAAAATTACCAACAACAAAATAAAAGGCTCTTAACCAGAATAACATAAAAGGCCATAATTCGTGATACGGCGCACACTGCTTCACTTTATCATCAGCATTCACTTTGTGAATATGCGCGATGACGGGGATTAACGGCAGTGTCCACAGATTAAGCCTTTCATCAAGTGTAAGCCCAAGGGACGGCTTCATGCTAGTACCTAGTACTCTAAAGCGTTACCCACTTTTTCTGAACACACGTAAAACCTCCTTGGTTTTATCTGTAACGGCTCACTGCTCTCCCATAGTTGAGTATGAAGTAGTCGAAATCGTTAAGCACTTTTTCTAAATACAAATGCCTGAGCCCCATGTGCTCATTAGAACAACCCCAGGTGGTCGAAATTTCCGGAACCTTCCACTACGGCGTATCTCGTAATCATATGGTGGTTTCGCCATATGTTACTCTATGGTTTCAATTATAATTAATATGCGTGGATTCCTTTTTTTTTTACATCGCATCGCACAATGTTCCATCCTAAATGTTTCCTTCCTTCGTGCCGGGCTGTCATCCACGTGCTTAGAAACAAAACACTTGAGTTGCTACAGGCCACAATGACGGTCATGCGCTCACATCCAAGCAACAACAAAAAGCGGCAACGTGAAAATGACAAGCTGGCTCGATAAGTGGTCATATCGCCGTATCATAAATCGCATGATCACCGACAAGCCACGATCGAGAGAGAGAGCACAATTTACTGGACAACGGCGCATATAAGTCATGGCGTAAAAATAATCAGGTGTTGACAATGAGCACGCCTTAGCGGCCAGATAATGTTCGGTCTCGCGAGCGCACACTGCTGTTTGCGCCGCGGCCAACATACCCGACGAAGCGGTGCTGGCGCATCGCATTTGCTCTGCCTGCTCAACGTTATCGTTTTAGTGGCGTGACTAACACTCAAAGCGCGAAGGAAATTTGTCGTTTTAGATTAAAAAATAAAGCTTCACCAGGTTTAAAGATTCATTAACACGAAAATGCTTAGTGCTAGGCTGTGAACGTCGTCAACACGGATCGATCGGGGAGCACTCAAAGCTAAGTTCCGCTCGCCTGCACTTGTATTTTTGTCTGTTCACAACATTCCTCGATGAAAAGAAAAACAATTTTAAAAAAACAACGTCAGCCAGCGTGCTACTTCTCTATCAAAATGTTGATATGTAGGGTTTAACGTCCCAAAACCACCATATGATCATGAGAGACGCCGTAGTGGAGAGCTCCGAAAATTTCGACCAACTGGGGTTCTTTAACGGGAACCCAAATCTGAGCACACTGACCTACAAAATTTCTGCCTCCATCGGGAATGCAGCCGCCACAGCCGGGATTCGATCTTGCGAACTGCGGGTCAGCAGCCGAGTACCTTAACCACTAGACCCTCACGGCGGGGTTCACCAAAATATTTCCCTTGGGGAGAAAATGCAAGGAACTCCCACATTCTTAGATGCATGTGCACGTTAAACCGCCCCGGATGGTCAAAATTAGTCAGGAGCTCTCGACTACGGCGGCCCTTGTGATTAAATTGTGATTTTGACACGTGAAACCCGAGGAATAATTATTAACCCTATATCAAAGGAGGATATAGTTACTGCACGAGAAACGTGCAGTAACTATATCCTCCTTTGATAGAGGGTTAATAGATAGAGGGTTAATGGAAGTAGTAATGTAAGTATCACTACTTCCATTTACACATGAAACGATTGAACCATAGTTGCGCTTGTTCCATGTGAACGCGATATAAATAAATATTTGAAACGCGCAATTATTCCTTATCAAGCACACAAGAGCAATGGAGTTGTTCCAAGAAATATGTAAATATTTGATTCACGCAAGTATTTTGTGAGCAGCACACTAAAGCGATGTGGTTGTTCATGGCTAGATGTTACTAAGAAAGTTCACATATTTACCCCAACGATCACTTTCAGACGGCACTTAGAAGAGAGGCCCACGCTCCGCACAAGTCCGCTATAGTCAGAACGGCAGTACAAAACACGTTGTACGTACCCGTTGCGGGAACCTCTCCGCAATTTGACGTCACCTTCATCGATAGAGCAACATTAAACACACGCGAACAAAGAAAAAAGAAACTTAACTTCGAAACAGCGTGGTCACACATGCCAACAAAAAAATCAGCAGCGTGCGCGTTTCAGCCGAGCGTGCTACCGCGATGGCTAACCCCGCTCGTCGCAGCGCCATCTAAGAAGGCACCTAGTAGGCTGCTAGATAACTGATAAGTGCCCGAACATTATCTGGACGCGCTGGGGTAGTGTTTTTCAGCGCGTTGCGGGGAGTGTGCCAGCACCTATATATTCTTACACCGTGATAGAAGTACAGTGCCAATTTTTTTTATGAAAGCGAAGACGCCAGCGTGTCGCCTGCGTTCTGCTGCGGCCACGTGCAGCGCCATCAGCTGACAGATAAGGAAATGACGTCCGCTTTGGGTGGCATCGCCCGTTGCGTGACCGGAGCGGGAGCGCTATCTATAGCGCTCGTCCAACGGCCATGACTCGTTATTTTTTTTTTTTGTAACAGGTGACGCGAAACGCGGGCGCGTTTTTATTTTATCTGTCGTCTGATGGTGCTGTAGGCAGCAGCGGCATTGAGTTACTCTATATGCTACCTACCTAAAGGTAGCATATACAATGACTACAGCGGCAGAGCGCCTTCCACGCGCTCGCGTATTCCCTTTCATGAAAATTAACACTGTACCTGCGAATTGGTATTCGCAGGTATAATGTGCCGGCAGAAAGTACAGGACCGGGTTGATTGGCGCATCGTGGAAGAGGCCTTTGCCCTACAGTAGGTGTAGTTAGGCTGATCATGATGCATACAAATACGCACGTGAGCCCTTCGTGGGGCGCCTTTCTGTAACGTCACCGATTAAGGTTTTTTCTCGCGTACGACGCTACTCCCGAAATGCGTGAGCGGTAAGATCTTCACTTTGAAAAATGCACAATCGGACGAAATTATTTGGTTTGGTTTTTAGGGTGCATAAGCAACTTGGGCCATCATGCACCAAACGTGTGGTATGGTTCTCTTAAAATGTAATATACATCGCCGAGTCCTTGTCAAGGGTTCCGAGGATGCCAACAGGTCTAAAGACTCCGATCTTCTTCTTAAAGACATCGAACAAATTAAAGACATTGAGCTCAACGAGGTGTTCCGGTATGAATTTGTGAATGAGTATAAATTTATAGTTTGTCTAGGATGTCTGCTTTTCTTGGCAGGCTAAAAGCATACGAGTTATCTACCAGCGCATCTTCACTTCCAAGCAATAAAATAAATTAAGGTTAAGTGTTTTTCTTACTGGTTTAGTGAATGATTGTAAAATGTGAATCCATAATAACTCACATCCGCATCTCTCACACAGAGCCTTCATTGTGTAATTTTGCTAGTACTTCTCGCTCACGAACGCACAGCAGCAATGTTTCTGCCTGGTAGGTGATCCTTCGCATTATCATCATTAACATATAAACCCCTATTAGGCAACAAAACTGATAAAAGATTTTTCTCGAACAAACCGAAAATCAAACTTGCTACAATGTCTTGATAAAGATATAGCAATGATTGTTTGTTCGGCCATTTTTGTTGAGCAGTGGCGTCAATCCAGAAAACGCACAAGGGTGGACCCACATCTTGCCATGGCGGCAATTTTTTATATGTTGGTTTTATTTGTAGTTATAAATTAAAATTATTCTTTCAAAAAAATTTTAGAAAGACGGGCACGGTTTAACCTTCCCTGAAACCGGTCGAGTGACAGTTGTGATTTAAATAGTTTTACACGGTTGAGGAAATCGACACAGGTATCAAAAGACAAGTTTAAATGTCCTAATTTTAAGTAAATGTCAACCAATTCAAATATATGAAGGAGGTGCTTGCAAGGCGTGTCCCGCCTAGCCTGGGCACAAGGGGGGGGGGGGGGGGTTCAGGACCATTCCCCCTTCCATGATTTACACACGAGTGGTCTTGACTTAGCCCACAGTGTAACAACGAAAGACATCAATTCGCATACAACTGCAGCTCCACGGGACAGTGTGCGCGCGTATGACCAAAAAGTTTTTTTTTTTTTTCAGAACAAACAAGGCGATGAAGCGAATTGTAAAATTGACATGGCATTAAACATACGTGACCCTTATGCAGAACTTAACAAGAGGACGAAGCAACGATAGGCGTGAATTCTTGTTTTGAACATAAAAAAAAATGAAATCACACAGGTGGTAAAATGCATTGCAAGAATTTGCTAGCTAATATCTAACCGCTCGCGGAGGGACGGCCTGTGACGGCTATAAATGTAAGCAGCTAGAACACCACTAACTGTCAAAAGGAAAATATTTGAAAAAAAGGGAAAATACAAATTAACGGGCCCCCCTTTTTTGGTTAGACACAATATTAATGATAACTAACGAGTAATAATACCAACGAAAGTATAAGGGAATGTTATGGGAAGTAGTTGTAATGCAAATGCGAAGAAAGAAAACTGGACGAAGAGATAACTTGCCATCGGAAGGGACTGAAGCGACAACCTTCGAATAACGTGTCCCATACTCTTGAAAAGTATATGAAAAATAATTGCTGCACCATCTCTCTCTCTTTCTTTTCACGTACCACCATATTCGCGCGTGAAGAACAGTGTTTCTCGATCAGGGACGTAGCCTAACAGTTTTCTAAGGGGGCGTTGTTGAATGAAACTTTGTGCATGAGGCGCATGTGTGCATGCCCGTTACATCGAAAACATTGGCGTAGTATGGATGCAGATACCCCCCTCCCTTACGGCTACGCCCCTCGACGTAAAAGTTAATACACATACTGAAGGGCATGCACACACGCGACCGCACACGTCTACCTATTGTGCGTGTTACGAACGGGGCGTACTTTTCCTTCTCGACCTGGCTCTCCTTCACCCGCCATTTAACTAAGTAATATTGAACCTATAAAGCACCTGTTGCTACCGAAAATGAAACGCTGGCATACCGTTTAACTCGTGGAGAAAGGAAGGCTCACTCAGGCGTAAGGGTTGAGCTGCTTCCCTGAGCTGTAATGAGTGCGTAGCTGGGCGTAGTTTGAAGCACGCGCCCTCCCAACATGCACCGTAAACGTTACACTAAAAAAAAAAAAGACTTTTTCATGTGTTCACACACATTTAAAAGTTGCTTTCCTGCTTTGTTTTTAGATTTTTATATTTATTTGTCATTTAGCAGTTCACCAACTTTTTTGGCACTACAGTTGATGTCGATGTGCTGTTTTCGCTGCCGAGAGCAACAAAAAGTAAACATGTAAGCAGGGAAGGCAAGAGAGTGATCGAATAATGGCAGTGCTTCACAAGGTGCTGCTCGCTTGGTTCCTGTTCACCGTCTTTCTCGTGCTACTCGCGCTGAGGCTGGACGAGAAGACCGACTGGAACTGGTTCATCGTGTTCGTTCCCATGTGGGCGTTCGACATCAAACTGTTCCTGTACCTGACCATACGTCTCATGAAGTCTTGCAAGCGGCGACGCGAGAACTCTCGCGAAATACGCCGCAGGCTGTGGGCCCTGTGCTGCCTGCTGCTCAAATCGGCCTTCCAGATATGTCTCTGCACGCGACTGCAGTACACTGCCAGCTTTCCGTGGGTGTTCGTAGCGTTGCCGCTGTGGATTCTCCTGCTTGGCGTGTCATGCAATGTTCTCGTGCACCTGATATCCCAGAGCTGACCCAATCTACGGGGAGACGGTGCCGTCGAACTCCTCAGTTTCAGGACGTCCGGATAAGTTCGCCCCTATCATCGCCAGCTTTTTTATTTAGTTGGCCTCGCAACTGGAATGATTTGTGGTGGTGACGGGACGATGGCCGTGTGCGCGAGACAGAGTAGTGACGGCATGATGATGTGTCTCTCCGTCAATCAGTTCTGATAGTGGGAATCAGGCACGCTGGATTGAAAATCCGGTTTATTGTGCGTCTCAAACGGAACGTAACCGTACGGTGTTTGTGCCAGTGTTTGAGCGCGTGATATTGTTTCGATGATTTTGACAGGAGTGGCTGTTTATGTGTAATAAGCGGCGTGTGCGAAGGCTATGGAGCTTGCGCATATCGCAGCCGTGTGCACTTGTTTCTGAGTGCAGTACAGTGAACTTTTTAGCTATTTCAGTCGAGCGGGACGGTTAGTTTTTTTTTTTTCACTTCCTTGCCTATCCCTAACTGGTATATGTATACCCGTGTTGTAAAAATTGTTCTAGTCATCTGTCAAAGAGTACGTCCATCATTTGTAACTTCATTGTTGCATATTTATTTCGTTCAATGTGTATAAAGCTTTACAATGTATTTCTCTTGAATCAGTCCGTCAGGGTCTCATTGTTTTGCACGAATTGCACACTACATCTATGTAACACGGTAATCTTTCTCCAAACTCACTTCTGGCTCAAAAACATGGGCTGTAGGCCCCATGCCCATAGTTTTGAAAACACACTACATTTCACTTTTTTCTACAACACGGTTACACAGTTGTGCCAAAGTACAAAAATTTGGTATTCACCACCTGTCAAGAATTCACTGCTCTTACTGTGGGGGCTAAACCAAGCATTCATGTTGCCAATCATGATTACACATCCTGTCATTGCGGTTTTCGAATATCTTACAATTACTATAACTCTTATCACTCTGGTGCACAGACTATAAAGTAGTGCATCACTTTACCAGGCATTTCTTAGCTGCACTCCAGAATGTTGAACTCGGATCTGGAAACAAATGCACCAGTTCCTCGATTTTGTCAAAGCTCTTTTGCGGTCAATCGCTAGTAAAACCAGCAGGAGCATAAAGGCAGCTGAAACAACTGCCAAACATGCGAGTTACCTTGGAGTGAGCCGAGCAAAAAAAATTATTTTTGAAATGGTCTATGAAAGGGGCAATGACCTTCTGAGAATTTAGAAGTATGCCATTCACTGGGGGTGCCACTTAACTGCCTGGAAGAGAGTAATGCTGGCACACTGCATCAAACCACAGAGCACAGTCACATCAACAATATGCTGAACCATTTTTCAAGTCACCAATGAATAACCTTAGTATCAGAGTTTATTGCTTCATGAATCGATTTGGAAAAAATTTCTTAGATCCACCGAGGCTGAGCGGAGTTACAGGGATTTGTCGCATGCTTCAAGTGCCGTCTCTCTTTTCTCCTCCTGATGACTGCACTGAAAGCTACTCAGTGAGGGATGGCACAGGGGAAAAAAGTTACCATCAGTCCATGTCACGACCTTCAAGGTGTGTGATGAAACGTGATGGCTTCCCATCATTTCAATTCATGAATGCAAGGTGTGGCTTTTGTATAGAGTTAGCACGCCTGTAACAAGAAGCGCATTTTATCCAAATTACAATCTTGATTTCAGTGGCACAGAACAAGAAGCATCTATCGAACACGCTATAATTTTCTATAATTTAGGTGGTGCAATTAAAAGAAGTGCATGCCACTTCGTCTGTCGCAGACTGCACTCGGTTTGTATTTTTATTTGCAGCACATCAAGTGCATGCGTGCACCTGTGCGTGTACACCGTACGTATACCGTGCTCAGGGTTCTACAAGAAGAGTGGCCTTTCTCTCTTCAAGCCACTACTTTTGCAAAATAAAAAAGAATGCATTCTGTTCTAAATATCCGTCACATGTAATTTCTAAGGTTACTGCATTGTTTTTGCATCACACATTTCGTGGTCATGTAAACGACGGCACGATTTTGGCGAAAGTACACTTGGCGAGTGTATATCGCTTTGACGTATGGAAGGGCATACTTTTTAAACAAGCCTCTCCTCACTTTAACCTTGGCACTTTATGCACTTGCTGGTCTTATATAAGCATAAGCTATATGGCTTTGCTGCCATTTGATGTCAAGTTTTTCTCCAAGTCACGTCAAAAATTTACAGCATGGAAAAACACCGACAAATAGATGCTTCCTGTTTCACTCTCGGTCTTTTCTGCAGTATAAGTTATTTTGTGCTATTAGCACTCGCTCGTTCAGACGTTCAGGACTGTGGTGCTAACAGAGCGATATTGATCATTAATAGCTCATAGCGATCTGCATGGACATGTCAGTGTTAAATTAACAGAACTATTTTCCCAGCATTTGCACGATCTAAATTTGATGCTTAACTTGTGAAAGGCATGGTGCAAAGGTTTATAAACTTCAACAACATATCAGTCGTAATTCAATACCTCATTTTCCAGGTTTGCAGACTCTTTTCCCAAGAAGCAACACTCAAGCATTAACATTATGGTACAAAAGAGCTCCCCACAAAAATTGCTGAAGTGAGCCCTGGTGCTGAAATTGTTGCCGAGGAAGTGAGGGTTAGTGCATGGATAGGCATCACATTTGAAGCCTCTGCTGGGGCTTGAAATTCAGCAGGCTTTGATGATCTAAATTTTCTAGCACACATGCGAGTTCCATAAGCGTAGCAAGGAAACTTGAGTCTTCACACATTCATAGTGAATGTTTAGGAGCAAAGCTCCTAAGGCCCACACACCGCCGTCGAAGCTCGCTGCGCTGGGCAAGTGTGCCAAACAAAACAGCAGGTGCGCGTTCCAGGCCCAGCAGAAGTGCAGGTGCGGCGGCAGATGGCTCGCACTGCGCCCTGTTCACAGTCTTGTTAAGTCGTTCCTGCCATGGAGCACAGCAGACATTCTCCCTACCCTGCCGCCTTCATGAAAGCCAGCAGCGAAATCGGGCGCATAGTTGTTAGCATCTCACTCCCAAGGACCTTCTCATCAGCTGTATTCGTACACGAAACGACTGCTAGTTCTTTTATTTCAGATGCTGTAGTTGAAAACCGTCAATTTTTAAAAACTGATAGCCATTTCGTGCGAGAAGTGAGTGCACAGTGCCCTTCACTCCCGTGCTGGCCAAGCCGCCACACTTGTGAGATTTCTGCGAATAGTGTCATACAGTTCACCATACTTCTTAACTCCAAAAAAAAAAATGTCGGCACAGCCTACAGCCATTGCTGTCTTGCCACGTAGAATTTGCATAAGGGCTCCGTCCAACAGCACTTAGCATTTTCATGACATCAAGCATTTCTTAAGTGTTTCAGAGAGCAGTCTTTTCCATTTAGACTCGCATTTTTGTAGCTAATTTTAAGTCGGAACTAGAATGTCCTGGTGAATTTCGTCGGGTATTCCAAATTGTTGCTTAGTCAAACGTAATGTTTTAGGTATAAACGGCAAATCTTTAATTTCTAGTATGCATCGCATTTACAATAGTCCAGAAGAAGTACTTGTGTTTAAAGTGGAAACCAGCTAGCATGAATGTCTTTCACAGGTCAAGGGCAAGCGTGCTGGGGTGCCATTTTTTTTTAGTGTTGTAACCCACTACAGTAGTTTTTTATGCAAGAATATGGCATACCACAGTGACCAGGCATAACTGTGCTGCACATTCAAAGAGCTTTTATTTGGCTAGAGCAACAGAAGGGGGGCAGCTCTCGTCCAATGACAACAATCGCATAGATGTCAAGCGCACACACACACACACACCCTCCAAACCATAGGCTACAACGTGCCACCAGCTGCAATGCACCGATGCCTGAAAGGGGTGGGGAAGGAGGGGGGTTTGTTCACATTGTAAATGCTAAAGGCCATTCATTTGTACATAAATATAGTATCATTCAGAGGTCAACTCCCTTGATACCCATGCGATACATGTAGGTGCTATCTTCGACACCCGCCAAACGATGCACTTGGGTCGACTCGTGACGAGATGGCAGTGCTAGCGACGCTACGGGCAGTTTGGCAAGTTGAAACGTGCTCGAAAGAAACGGACACCGGGAAAATGCACCAGGAATTTCGCCCACAAGAAAGACAACCATAAAGACCACAGGAAAGTCTCTGGCAAAGCACTGTCACAATTTGTCACGTCCGACTTTATATAACTCTGTCACGAGCAAAAGCCTTTCTTCAAAAGCGTATTTCCTATGCCAGCTCAAATGGCCACGCCACAACATTGGGAGCCAATTCTTGCACGCCGCATTTTGGCAAACGTAACGGAAAGCTGTACACTGATGTCGATACAGGTGCACCCTATAAACTCTCAAACAAACCGACGGTACCAGGTTGCGTAACCCTAGACTAAAACTCTAGATACTTTTTCAATGCCTCTGCAAGTGCATATAAACTGCCATACAATCGCTCAATGAAGATGACACTTTTCGGGCTTAAGCGCTAGCAAACAACGCAATCTGTAAGAGCAATGGGGCAGGCGAACATAGTGGCTCAAAGATACTCCTCTAATGGCTGTGCACGTGTCATCATTATCAGCACGAGGCAAGGAAACTCAAGGGCCATGCACACTACTCTTGACAGAAGCAACATGTCTTGACTGCTGATTCGCCCTCAAAGAACCCTCCAGCATTCACAACGATATCCTTTGACTATGCATCAGTCACTGGTGCATTCACAAAGGAGACACGCGATTTACATCACAGTTATGTACATCTTTGAAACTTTCAGGCTAGGTAGCTTGGTAGCTCTTAAAGTCCGTTTTTTTTTTCAGCTCCAAGGTAGGGTTTTATGTACCTTACGCGACTGACCATCGCTGAAAAGTTTAGGCAACAAAATAGAGTTGCGTCTTCAAAGAAGCACCGCAGCTGTCATTTTACTTTTTTTTCTCAGTGTGTCTGTGTAACTGTGTAAGCACCAGAAATACATTTAACAACACCTGCCAAAGCAAGCAACAACGTGGGTGAGAACCCAATCCTCGAAATTGGGTTTGCGCGATCCTCATGCTTAAGCTCCCACGCAAATGCAGCTTACGGAAAAGGAGAAAATAAGAAAAATGACGCTGCTTCGCCAGGAAGATCTTGGACTATTTTTTCGGGATCCAAAAGAAACTGAGGGTAACAAGCGTCCAGGAGGGCTTTTTTGCAGAGTCGCATGTGACATCTGTCCCAAATCAAGGTGTGGACGTCGCCTCGCGACAGCTTCTTGTGACCATTCGACTAAACCCTCCTGCATTCCAGAGCTTGCATTAACTCAAGAAAAACAAACTAACAAAATAATATTTATAAGGAGAGAAATACATTCTACCACATTGAAAGTGAATATGTCATATGTGGCCACAAGATGCACCCAGACGAGGGCACGGGTATCAACATCACGTAAGGGGTAAGAAAGGAGAAAGGTGAAAAAAAAAAAGAAACATTTACGAGTACAAACACGACATTTCAAGATTCAAGTGAGGGAGGCAGGCGCTACGAAACAAAACTACCTCTTCAAGCATTTTAACTGGCTGCCAGCAAAGATTGGGGAACGGGAATGCCGCATCAAAAGGTTACAGGCACTTCAAAGCTGTCTGAAATGTTAGCACTTTCCAAGTGAGCAAAAAAACTGACCACCACTGGCCTTTTTTAAGTTTCGCCCTTAACGAGAAGTTCTGCTCAACAACGTTAACTCGCAATGTAATGTCAATGAGGCACTGCAATGACAAATGGGGTGCCAGAATCAATCTATCTCTCGCACCAACGTGAGCACTTGGAAAAATTATGGATATGGTTACTCAGTGAACATCCCTTGCTTACTTACGAGGCGATTATTTCGATGCCTTTGCCGATTTTTCCCGCTTCCACAATCACTGATAAAGTCTGGCGTCACAGCTCCCAAACGAAATGACAAAAGTCACAAACATACAAATTCGTGGGCTTTCTGCCGCCCCGCTGAGGTGTTCAAATACCTTTGCCTCATTCCTTTCTTCTACTTCCCCTAAGCATCAAGCTAGCAAGAAATGAATAACATAAAGCTGCAATTTATTGTTTCAGCATCTGGAAAGAAAAACCGAAATTCAACAAAGAAGGGAAGAAGAAAAAGGGAGAGAAACGAATGGGCCACACCAACAGTTCAAAACACATCTCTGGAAATCTCTCAAGGCCTGGTTTTCTCACTTTACTCTTCCATGCAATGAATGCCACTTCATATACAACAGGTAGTATAGATCACAAAGAAAATCGAATAATGAATGTACATGCCCATATATATATATAGATCACACCCACAATCTTATTTTTAAAGCTCAGACACCTAAGGTCGATATGCACATATACACAGTACATACATACAGAAAAAGAATAAAGTCTGTAGTCGGTAATATTCGAGCAGCGTGTCTATACACGTCGTGGCGTGCGGTGGATTTGGTGCTTGCTACCCTGAATAATTCACATTCACAAAAAAGAAAAAGAGAAGCACTCCTGTACACGTGTATAGCTACTTGGGTCAAAATGAAAATTGGAAGTAATCTCTCTACCCTACAGTGACCTAGAGCAACACACACACTCGCACACATTCTCGATTTACATTACACATTGAAGAAACACAAGGGTCAACCACACACTGTTTTACAGTATAGCAGCATTGTTATGAGCAGGCAGGCATGCATGCCACACACACAAGTCACCTTCCAGCCGAAGAAGTGGACCAGTCCCCACTTGCCATCACCGCAGAGTTCCCATCTCTCCTAACCCAAACTGGCCGGCTGCCCTGATCACCACCTAGAAGCTCCAGTACTTGACTAGTGAGTCCAAAGAAAAAAAAAAGACAGAGAGACAAAGAGAGAAAAAGAAAAAAGAATGAAGGTAGCCCCGGACAGCGTAAGAGTGACTACGAAAGGTGGCCTTCACGAACGGTACCCAGAAACATTGCGCAGCCCCTCGGATTTGGTGAAGTCTATTTCGGCGTAGGAGAAAGTGGGCCCTTCCTCAGTGGCCGCGTCTATGCCAGCAGCGTTGGGAGCGCGTGGCGAGCGCTGAACAGCACTTGGCGCTCCATCTTCCCCACTGGGAGGTGCAAGATCTAGCGACGCGTAATTGAGCACTCGTTCGGCGGGCGCCTCAACAACAGTGGCGGCACCTCCTTTGAGAGAAATGTTCTCGTAGTTGGCCTCGGGCGGAACCTGCTGGAGCACTGTGGCGGCTGGCGGAGGGTCTGCGAGGCCTCGCAGCTGCACGTAGGAGGATTCTGCAACAGCGAGCGGCGCCACTCTCGTGACGCTGGTGGAGCCTTCGGCTGGCAGCTTTGGGCCACTGCTCCAGAAGGAGGATCCGTTGGCACTGGACGTCATGGGCGTTGAGTCACCGCTGCTAGACACTGGCATCTTGACGTGCTGCGTCCACTTCATAGTCTTGCTCAGGTCCAGGTTCACGTACTCTCCCAGCTGCTGGCTTTCAGGCGAAGCGGGACGCAGCGACGTGGTTGTCATCGGAAGCACGTGGTAAGATGAACCAGGTTTTCCCTTGGAAACTGTGCCGTTGGACGTGCCAAGAAACGCCACGCCCTTCTTAGTCATTTCCGTGGCCACGTACTCGCTGTCAGTCTTGCACTGGTTGAGACCGTTAGATGGCAGCGAACTGGACATTGACACAGCGTTGTCCTCTCTGAGAGCTTGCTGTGTGGTCGAGCTCCTCCGAATCATACCAGTATAGCTGCTACTCCGTCCGCCGGGGTGGTTCTCTTTACCCAAGTCTTCTTTACGCTGCCTGCTGCTCGAGGGTACGCTCACCTTCCTTTCCGTATGCTCCGAGCCGGTGGGGCTGGTAAGCGAGTGCTGGTAGCTGCTGCTGCTACCAGCGCCAGACTCCGAGCCAGTAGTCATCACCATGTAGTCGTCAAATGTCTTGGTGGTGCTTGGAGTGCTGGCGGTGCTGAGCTTTCGAATGGCCTCAGACGTTTCGGGTTGCTTCATGCTAGCGGGTGGAAGGACGCTGCTTTTTTCAACCACAGGTGTGCTGCTGCTGCCCTGACCGAGGTCGCTACGGTCGTAGTTGATCTCCATGAGGTCCTCGTTGTAGTTGAGCGCCCGTGGTGCCTGTTGGGAGGATGATGCATCCTCTTGCAAAGTGGGCACACTGGACGACTTCTGACCCTCGAGCCGCTGCAAGGCGTTCGCGTCGACGTCGGCGTCCTTCTTCAGGCGACGCCGCATGGCCGTCGGTGCCACCTGGCTCCCCACCGAATATGCACGGACGCGAGACTGGTCCAGATGGCCTGCCAGGGAAGTCTTTTTGACCTGCGAGAAGGAAGGCAGTGGCACTGTCATTCACACGAGCGAACAAAACGACCATCAAAAATGAAGGTTTGAGAAATTTCAGTAGGATACTATTGCTGCAATTCTGACTTCAAGCCCTCCAAGCAAACACAAAGACTTTGCTTTAAAGTGGCATTATTTATCAGTACCGTAGTGGCAGGAAACGAAATCTAAAATTCTTCTCTGCTGTTGAACATCATAACTGCAAAATTACCATGGCCATTTTGTATGAAATTTCCCCAAGATTGCCAATAAGTGTAACACGAATATGCCTTGATTGCTCTACTACAAAAAAAAAGCCCCACAGCTATATGTAAGCTTTCTTAATAGACGGTCAAACAACATTATACACACCTGCAGTGTCAATAATGCTTTGCAAGTTAAACATAATTGGAGACCAATGAGAACAGTAAAAAAAATTAGGGAAGCTTTTCTAGAAAAGTTTTCTCGCTCTGACCTGCTAATATAAACATATAATATGTCAAGATGTCTATGTGATAGCATTGCCTCAAACCGACACATGCTTATTTGCAACACTTAAAATTTGTTATGGGATCCATTCAACAAAATGAGGTGAAATTTGCAATCACCACTGCACTCGCATCTCGCTGTAGCAACTACAGCAGGTATGTCGTATTGCCCTAGACACAGCAGGTGAATAAACAATCGAATTAATAACATGCCACACACACATACCTGCTGCCTACTACCAATAGAATAAGCCCGCACAGGCTTGATGAATGCTTCGGCATCGTCTTCTGATGGAGAAAAGTAGGACTTGACCTGCATAAAGGATGTGCACAAACAACTCTTAGGGATTCCTTGCAAAGTGTTGCAATACGAACACTATCCACTTCAATGAAGACGAAACAAACAAGAAATCTGGCAATTTGCACTCATTATTTGGCATTTCCAACTAGCACAAGACACCATTCTGAAATACGATCTTTCATGGCTAACTTGGGGCGGGCCATGATATTAAAGGAACACTAAAGTGCAAAAAGATTTTTCATGCATTAGTAAATAATAATTTCACAATATAGAAAACACCAGTCTTACAGCGACACGACAATTGGAAAGGGAGAAACCGCGCAAAAAGAAACTGCGGGGGGAGATGCCACCTTGAGATTCCTGAACCAAACACTGCGACGTCATCAATTTTTCAAGGCGTCTACTGGGTTCTATGTAGCTCCTAATCGATAAAATTGAGGTACATTGTAATCTGTGGGTGCTTTAAACTTAGCATACGAAGTCTCAGAAAATTTGATAGAGCCAATGTCGCGAAATATGAACATAACATGGTGGAATTTCTTGCATCATGCGAGCAGATTATGGTGCGAAATTCAGAAACGGAACACGAACCCTGATTTTCTGCGCTAATAATGAACTTATGACAGTGAAACTTACGATATCAAAATTATTAGAGTGCAGTTTATCAATCTAAAACAACCCATTCTTTCTCTTTGGTATCCCTTTAAAAAAGAAAGTGTTGGCAAAACATGAAGATGCAACAGGGATGCAACAGCTGAAATAAATTTTGGAGCAATTTTAGGAGCAGCAATATGTTACTTTTGGAGCACGAAAATCTAAATTTGAGGCAGGTTATGAGAAAAAAAATTCCTTAAGGGGAGATGCTACTCGAAAAAGGTTTTTTTTTATTTCATAACCCAGCTCCTTGAAATTTTAGGTGTTAGTAAAGCTTGCAGTGCTGATTTCATAACTGCAATTATTTGTTTGATAGCTATAGTAGTTCCGGAGTTACTACAACTTTGATATCAAAATATAGTGTTTTTTGTGCACATAATAAAGCTTACTAAAAATTTTCACACAGAATTGCAAAATGGCTCATTCTGCTGCACTTGAGCAGTACAATACAGAAAAGTACCTCAAACAGAAAATTTATTTGCTACATTAAAAAAAAAAAAATTAAAAGTACTAAATGCATATTTTACATCTCTCTATCAGTGTATCAAGTTGTGTAACAAAAAATCTGTGATGTATAATGCAACCTAAAGTAGATACTTGTATTCTAGAGTGGCTGATTAAGCTCTGTGCAAAATTTCATCAAGATAGGACTATTTTATGCCTAAAAAAGATTGTGCACAAGATGAGAGAATTACCTCAAAATGGAAATCGAGAAAAATGCATTTGAAAGTTGTAAATATGTTTACTCATGATTACACAGTGCGATTTGCACAAAACTTGGTGATATCATAGAAGGGACACAGCTAGAGCACCTAAAATTGTCCTGCTCCATATGTGGATCCTTCTCGCCGCTTGAGAAGGGAGTCATCAAGGCGCGCTTTCTTTGCCACGTTCCGCCGATGGGCCCTTGCCTCGGCTGTTTCACACGCAGACATTCTTTCGATTCTCCTCTGGTCGCGGGATTGGCCCAGGGTGATCAGTTGATCTGGTGGGACTACACCAAGCTCCTGTAGCACGTGTTCAAAGCTTGAATGTCCTTTATTGAACCACAACACGGCCATAGCAGCTGCAGTTTCCACTGTTGTCCGGGAGGCAAACTTAGTCTTCGGACACAACAACCAGATTTTGCTGTTCAAAGATTCTGCAGCGTTTTGGGTCTTCCCTTGGATACAACGCACCAGCAACTTTTCATCTGTGAGCCGCTTGTAAATGGGAAGCACAGCCAATCCTTGAGCCTTGGTCAAGATTGGTGTGTGGTCGGGTGGGGCCTCCCCAAGCGCTTCAGCTCGCCTATGCTTGCACCAGGAAGTCGCCCCTTCTGGACAGTATCGGTGGCTGCCTGCTGTGTTGCTCGATGATGAATGGAAATATGAGGCCCAGATGGCACGATGCATTTTCAGAATATCACCTCTGTTGTTTGTGATTGCAATACGGTAATAGTTCTGCAGCTTCTGAATTGTGCCATCTGTCAGCTTTTCCCCTCGTGGAAGTCTTGTTGGCAGTTTCCGAAGTGCAGTGCCTAGACGCTTGGCCACATGGTTTGTGCACTCCTCCTTGTCCACAACAGCTTCACCATATACCTTGGCCTCAGCGACAGCGGTATAAGCTTTGCTGTCCCCATCACTGAGGAACTTGGTGAAGCGCAATGGTGTTGTGTATGAGGATGTCCTGCCCCATATGCGCAAAGCTGCCTCAGTCTCCATGGCATGAGAGGAGCACTCTGTATTTTTTTCGCAGACAGGTGTGTGGAATGCTTGCCATATTTCTTCCTCATCACCCAAGTCCTGGTGCCGGCTACAGGCAAGGCAGTAATTCGATAGCACTTCAAAATCTAGGCACAAACCAGTGTCCACAGACACAGCAGTGCCGATGCCATTGTGGCTCTTGTGCCCTCTTTTTTGCCATGTGCCATCATACATGACAGCAACATCAGCCCCATCCACTTTCTCTTTAGTTATCATCCGCGCTTTCGCCAGGTTTTCTTGCACAGCTTTGGTAGCTGCAGCATGAACTTTTTTGCCAATTGCAATAAAAGTCTTATGATGCATAGGTATTGGCAGTCCAAGAATAGCGCAAAAACGCGACAGCTGTTCATGCCCAATGCCTATTGCACGCGCAGCCACAACTACCTTCACATTGACAGCGAAGCTGTCACGCGAGCTGCCGCTTCGGTAGCTCCAGTCATCACCGGCATCGGTGGGCTGTCTTTCCGGCAGAACACGCCGCGAACTATGCGCGGCAGAAACCACTGACTCAGGACACTCACTGTTATCACAGTGCAGCTCGAGGAACGAAGAGAGGCCCTTACGTTTACTTGCGGTGTCGCGAACGACGAGTCCAGCGGTGTGGCATGTTGGACAAACAGCACGGCTTACCATCGATGTCAGTGCGCCGATGTCACAAAATACTCCGCTCACAGAGCCACAAACACTCTTCGTTCTTTCGCTTTCGAACTGTTCAATCTTTTTTTCTGATGCGCTGATGAACTTGATCGCGGCGTCGATTTCGTCAAAGTTCCCGCAAGCCGCCGTATCCCCGCTGCCTTGATTAGGCCTAGTGGCCCGCGGCTCGCATTCTTCTACCGCTGCTTTGCGCTTCGGTTTACGTCGACGCCCTTGGTACTTGTTCTTGCTTGCAAACTTTCGTGCTCGGAAGTCTCGCTTCTTCGAGTTATCCATGATGAACTCGGAAAAACGTAGAAACGCACGGCAAGTGCCGATCGTCGCAAGCGCTCAGCGAGCGAGGCCGATCAGATGTAGCCAATGGCGGCCTCGGTAGCGTACCATGTGACCGGTAGAGATGCGCGAAGCGGCTGCAGCTTGGCTGCAAACCGACTTGGAAACGACTGTTTTGTGAAATTCCTCACTAAAATACGAAACTAGGGGGACGCCTGTACACTAGAAGGAGCCTTGATCTACACCACCGAACAAACCCCGATGGCGGACGTCATCGTGTTGCCGAGTGGCGGATTTTCAAAAATAGCCGTCGGATGCGTGAATTCGCGACTTCGGCAGCTACCTTCACTAGCGCAGATCGACTTTTTACCACTTTCTCGTTTGAATTCAGCTATGACCTTTGGGGAAATGATAGTTGAATGATCAAAAGTGATTTTAGAAGCAATATCTCAAAAGTGGAAATTTTCGCAAAAAACGCGATTTTTCGACCCGCATCTCCCCTTAAGGGGCGAAGCTCCTTAAGGCGTGGGTCTGTCCATCCTCGGCATATGTATGTAGCCACCTCTAGTTTAGTTCTTGCATTGTTTACTAGATGGTGTGGCTGCCTCTAGTTTAGTTCTTCGATTGTTTACTAGATGGGGGGGAGCGTTGTAATAAAATCCGTTCGCTGTTGGCACGCGCTCTGAGTTGCCCGATGGATAAGGCCGCAGAGCGGCGGCAGCCCGTGCTCGCAGACAGAATCCCGATGTGCGAGACCGCGAGGCAGAAGTGCTCCATGAAGCTGCGCGTCGCTGCCGCCAAGATCCTGCCGTAAGAGAGCGGGAGGCCGCTACACTCCCCTACACCGGAACGTGCCTATTGGCTTAGCAGCCCAAACCTCAACATCTCGCAAACCTCGGCATCTATGCAAGGCTGCACACTGTCAATGACAAATTTGATGATCCACTCACCTTGTCCAAATGGAAACCCTCTAAACTAGCTGAAAGTGGAGAGGCAGAACTTGGCACGTCTTGTAGGCTATGTGCTGAGCACCAGCTGCCACTGAAGTCGGTGCAGCTTTCTCCAACTAAATCACAAGGAGAGAGAGAAATAACGAGACGGTCAGAAGCATCATGTCAGTGAAAAAAGACTTTAAGGGGCCAAGCTCCACTTTTTCAGCATGATCAGAAAACGGTGACTGGTAGCCGAGGCTCCTAAGAACACACCATTCAAACATTTTAGCACAACATGGGGCCTGGAGTTTACAAATAAATTTAAAGTCAGCCAGAAATCATGCCCTCTTTCTACAAAAGATGCCACACAAATGAATGATTGTGCCATATACGCAAAGTGACAGCAATCGGCTGATTTTAGTGTCACGAGCCGCATAGCTACCATGGCTGCCACAGAAGGTCATTATGTGACCGTGCGCTTGCTTGCGATTAGTTCGGAAAAGAAAAAAGTGCCCAAGGTCATGATGCATGCGTGACATAGCTTTTTTCACCAGTGCCATCCCTTCCTGCTTAGCTTCCAGTGTGCCAAACAGGGTGTCCGCCAATGTGCTCTTTTAAAATTCCCCGACTTTTCCAGGCTATTTCTAGGCTTGTGCGAACAGTATATTTTCAATTCAAATTGAATTTGAAGAAAAGAGTAATTTTGGTCGAATAATTTCAAATTGAATTCAAATAGTATATATATCGCACATTATAAAAAAAAAAAGGGGGGGGGGGGGCATATTTGTCAGGATCTGCACAATATTTTTTTAAAAACTGAAACAAGGCCTGCGCAAAGGCCCAAAGGAAGTGACAACAGCTTTGAATAGTAGCAGGATTTGACTCTCAGTACAATTCTAGTGATAGCCAGTAAAATATGCTATGTTTTAAAAATTGCTATACTGAGAGCATATGTCAGTGTGACGAGTTTTTAAACTGGAAATAATAAAAACAGAATCGATGTCAGGGTAATTCTAGCTTAAAAACCTGAAGTGGGGCTTCGCTACAGTGCGGATTTCTCCTGAACAAGTGTTTTGACTGCTTTGTAACACTTCACTGCAGTACAAAAAACACTTTTACATGCGAGCTAATACGCTTGAATAGATGTTTTCACCGTTTAGCTCCCCTCCACTGCAGTGAAAGCACCTTTACAGAGCGTTACACTAAAGGACACTATTAGTTCGACGTTGATTGCTGAAATAGCGGTTCAGAAACTTTTTAGCGATACTTTTGTGCCAAGGAAGAGCTTGTTTTAAAATTATATAGCGTTTTAGAGGTCCGCATCAGGTTAGCGCACTACAAATTACAAGCATCAACGGAACGTCTGATGTCCCTGTTGCCCTGCACAACGTTGCCCGTCTTTAATGCGCGGCCGCCGAGACTGTAGTAGTAGCAGAGGGAAAGTAGCCCAAACCACAGCAGCAACAACGGTTATTGAACAATTTTTAGCCATGGCCTTCAAGATTGCAGGCGTGCTTGGTTCAACTGGGCCCTGCCAGATTGCACAGCCTGTCCAGTTTAACCATGCAAAAATTGAATTTTTGAACCACTCGCGCCATTCCCCATAGTAACGTCCGGCGGTTCTTTTTTTTTTTATTAATCAAACACAAACGAACAAGCAGCATTTTATTGCGTCTCTTGATGCACAGAAGGTTCTTTATTTAGGGCAGCCAGATAGATTACTAGTGGTTAATTGTATGTGGTTTGTTTGATATTGACGGGATTATTATGCAAACGTCCTACCATGGCGCATTTGTTCTTGTGCATTTTAATTTCTCGGTAAGTCAGGCACTGCTGTTGATAATGTTGTTGTTTTAGACGTTTTCATACATTGAGCTTTCACTCTAATGTAAATGACTTTAGTGCCCCTTCAATATGCACCTACAGTAAAAGCTCGTTAAGGGGGGACGTGGCAAGTAAAACTAATTTTTTTATTAAAGTACTGTTTGTGATGAAATTTGGTGTGTGTATGTGGATGATTGTGAGGATTCCAAATATGAAAACCGTTTTCAAATACCTCTTGTACTTTTTGAGTTACAAGCATAATTATACTAATTAATGCTCTTCACACTTAAAGAGATAATTATTGCTAAATGAAATTATTTTTTCATATTATTATGTTCCCAAAGCATCAACTTGTGCAAAGAAGCTATTAGTTGATTTTTCTAGTTCTTGTAACCATAAATAAATTTCCAAAACATGGATGTTGTTTTGCGCACACATCGCAGTAATTATAAAATGTGTTCTAAAAATTTTAAATGATGAGTAAGAAGAGAGATAAAGCTTTATTGCACTGCTAAAGGCCTCCTGAGCCTAGTGCAAAAAACGGAACGACTCTATCAGTCTTTGTTAGAAAATGACAGATGTTCTAGCGAAGGCACATAGGCGAAAATCAAGAGTTGAGGAAAACTGACTTTGAAAGTTCACTCTTGTTTGGAAGTTCACAACATGCCTGAAACACTCAGAATCCTCCTGGGCAGTAATCCTGAGATGCTGTGGCCTTGGCCTCTGTAGAGCGCAACCCAGTTTTGCGCTTCTTTGTCGTGGAACAATGCGCCTTTTGAGCCCTCTTTACCCTTTTGGCATCCTTTTCGGCTGCTCGCCGCAAAGAGCAGTCTCCTGGATTGAAGCCCAGTTGAGCAGTGATCTCTTGCAGCGCACTCTTGCAGCCACCATTGAAACGGCAGACTGCATCTGCAACTGCACTTTCCACACTTCGAAGGGAGGCGAACTGGCTCTTGGACTGGAGTGACCAAATGAGGCTGTTCATACTCTCCACAGCGTTCTGGGTTTTTCCCTGCGCACACCTTTCAAGGAGCTCTTTGTTCGAGAGGCGCTTGTAGATTGGCAGCAGTGCCACTCGCACGTGAGGGGGCAGTTTATGTTTGTGAGGCGGCAGCGGCTCTCCCTTGGCCAATGCCTGATTGTGCGGGCACCAGGAGTCAGTCCCACTTGGGCACAGGTTGTGGTGTGGATCCTGGTCTGTGGATGTTACATGGTAATAAGTGGCCATGATGGCCCTCTCCATGCCAGGAACATCGTTGGGGTGGCTCTTAATGGCCCAGCCATAATAATTCGTCAACTTCTTTATCAGGCCCTGCGTCAGCCGGCCTTTGCCACCCATGCTCAGTCCTCGGCCTTTGGATTTGTGCTCATCAAGAAGGTTGCGCAAGGAAGTGCCCATTCTTTTTTTCACATGGTTCACACACTCCTGTTTCTTAATCACCATGTAGCCATACACCTTGTCTTGCGTGAGGGCAAGGTACGTACGGCTGTCACCGTCGCAGAGCACATTGATGTATCGAAGCTTGTACTTGGTAAACGATCTTTCAAACATGATCCTAGCTGCTTCTACTTCCATTTGGCCTGCATTAGCATCGGTGTTCTTTTGGCACTGTGGCTTGTGTTTCTCAAGCCACTCCTCATAGTTGTCGTCACCAGGCTTGGGGCCAACAGCACAGCCTTGGCAGTAGTTGGACAGGACACAGTGGTCCAAGACCAAGCCTGTGTACAGCTCGATTACACAGCCCACGCCAATATGACTTCTGTGCCCCCTCGTCATCCACGTGCCGTCGTAAATGACGTCAATGTTGCCTGGCACTCCTCCTAGGTCCTTGTAAATGTCATGCACCTTCTGTGCACTTTCTGCTTCAATGCGGGTGGCAGCTGATGTGGTGGCAGGGTGGCTGTACTTCCTTTGCAGTCTCTGGTAGGACTTGTGGTGCAGTGCTCGATGCGAAATGTCCATCGCAGAAAAAATGTCATTTATGGCAGATTGTTTTCTGCCAACTGACTGCACAGCCCTCAAAGCACGCACGTTTACCTCAAAGGGGTTCGTTTTTTGTTGCCCGGAGCACCTCGGGGACGACCACGCACTGTTCACTCTGCCACAATTGTCACAAAAAAGTTCCATCCTCGCTGCGAGTCCAAGGCAGTGCGTAGTCTCGAGGCGTATCGACCCTTCGTCGCACTTGTTGCACTTTACTGACGAAAGCAGACCGTTCAGCATCTTCTTATTTACAATGAAGAATGTGGAGTCCTTACCGCCGTCATTTTCGTCGCAGCCTTCGTTCAGAAGCTCGAGCTTCCGCTTTGAAGCGGACTTCGATGCTACGGCATCCAAAACATCCCGCCTTGTCTGCGCCCGCTGCGAGATTTCTTCACTGCTCGGAATCTGGGCCGAAACTCGCGATAGAATGTTCGACGCGCGCACGCCCGGAGTTGCAACGGCTGCCGACGCGGTGCCACCGCAAGCGGGTTCGCGAGAGCGTCCATCACGGTCGACGGCATCCGGCGGTCTGACATACGACGATGTGGCACCTTCCACACTCTCGGCCTCACAACAATCAGCGAAGGGTCTGAGTAGAGGCTCCGTGACGCTCGAAGAGCATGCTCCGTCCGGAACTGCGACTGGGACGGCAGCCGCAGTCGTCTGCCCTTTGTTCCAAGCTTTCCGACGCTTGCCGTACTTGTGGACGCTCCGGAACTTTTTTTGCGGCAACATAGCACCGCAGTATGAGCAAGCACTCAGAAGAGACCACCGATGTAAACAAAGCTTGGTAAAAAAAGCACGCGAACTATCACAAAAACAGCAAACTGGCAAAAAACGAAGCGCACGCCGGATGATTCTCGACACGGCGGCCGCAGATGCGCTCGCGCTTCCAAGGTTGCCAAGGTGCGCGGCGCAGCTTTGACCAGTAAGAGGTCGCGCCTGCTACCACGTGACCCGCGCAGCCAATTGCCGTTCTTCGTTTTCGTTTTTTTACTTGCTCCTCGCGCTTTTATTTTCACTCGGCGAAATACGAGACCGCGACCATCAGGAAGCCGGCTTTCTCCTCTTTCCAAAGCTACCAAAATGGCGGCCCACGGTCAACAACTTGGCGCGTTTGTGCGGCGTGAACAACACCGTTTCAGGGGCTTTTTTTTCGCACTTTTCGGCGACTAGCCTCGGCAAAAACACTATTTGCGGGATTTGTAGCGCACGTTTCGCTGTAATATTTTAGAACAAGGAAGTTGAAGGTCTGAAGATTACGAAAAAAAATAAATCAGAAAATCGCATATTTTGACCAAAATCGGCACTTTACTTGCCGCGCCCCCCCTTAATTCGGATTTCACGGGACCGGAAAAACTGTCCGAATTAACCGAATGCCGAATTAATGAATGAACAGGGAAAACAACATTTAAAATCAAGCTGCAGAAGCATACCTTTATTTGTTGAAGTATTTTGTAATTGTCGTCTGCGTTTTCGCGCAGATTCCGACTGACATCACAATTTTTCTTAACTGTTCCAAATGGCCAACAGCACGCAAGCTGTCGGGAGTGTTCAGGCAAGCGTCCTCTAATATTAACAGCACCTCCGAGACTTCCCGTGAGGTGCGATGAGGTCGCGGCTGTATCTCCTCGCATGATTCTTCGTCGAAATCGTGGTCTTCATGGGCGCCCGTGACATCATTAATAATCTCTTGATCGGTCAGGAGACCACTCGTGGCGACACCATGATCAATCGCGACGTGGTCCTGAAAGGTCACATCTGTGGGAAGGTCAGCATCGAAACTCGGGCAGTCATCGTCGGTGGACTCAGCTGACACCTCCTCGATGCCATCGTCAGCTACTGCTGCATGCTCGGGCCTCACAAAACCGCTGTGCCGAAAACAGTAGGCGATGACTTGTGGCGGAGTGTTTTTCCACACGTGGCCGATAATGTGCACTGCGCCGAGTAAGTCCACTTAATACAACTTTCCAGCTTCTGAGCATAGGATCATTCGCTCTAGCAGGTGCTTGCGGTACTTCGACTTCACGTAGTGAATGATACCCTGGTCCATCGGCTGAAGAGCAGACGTAGTGTTGGGCGGCAAAAAAACTACTTTGATGCTCTTCAGTTCGACTGTACAGTTATGGGCACTGCAGTTGTCAACAACCATAATTATCTTGCGGTCCTTCGACGTGAAGTGCCTGTCCAACTGCTGCAGCCAGCCGCGAAAAATGTCCGATGTCATCCATGCCTTCCTGTTTGCTGTGTACTCGACAGGAAGGCTTTTGACGTTCTCAAAACAACGTGGCTTAAGCGCCTTCCCGACGACAAGTAGTGGCAAGCGCTCCGTGCCAGTCATATTGGCGGCAAGAAGCACAGTTATCCTTTGCTTGACTTTTTGCCACCAATGCACGCGTCCCCTTTGAAAGTCACCGTCTTGTCGGGCAGAGCTCTGAAAAATAGAGCAGTTTCATCTGCATTGAACACGTCACGTGGTTCATATGCGGCGATGTGCTCCAGCAGCTTCACGTTTCTCCACTCGGTGGTCACGCTTTCGTCAACACTGGCCTTTTCGCCGCACACACTCCTGAAGACAAGTTCGTGTCTCTCTCGAAACCTCGCAAACCACCCTTCTGACGCTTTGAACGATTCAATGTTCATCATTGCAGCGTACTTCTCACCTTGCGCCATGATGAGAGGTCCGCTAAAAGGCAGATGCGCATTGCGACAGTCAGTAATCCACCGGAGCAAAGCTTCTTCGAGCTGGGGATGAGCTGCGGTTCGCAACCGCTTTCTAGAGGCATGAAACTTCTCGCTTTCGAAGGCTTGTCGAATCTGTTGTTCATTTTTCACGTACGTTCCCAACGTGCTCCGCTTCACGTTGTATTTGGTCATAACCTGCTGTCGCGACTCGCCGTTCTTCAGTGCTTCCAAAATTTCCACTTTAGTCGCCAAGTTCTTCGCGTCGTAGTTCTGCCGCTTTTTCGGCGTTGCCATCACTGTAGCGCACGATGGTGGTGGCATGCAAATACGGTCACAATGGAAGAAAAAGAGAACTCCGCAAGAAGAGATGGTTCCGACACGACAACACAAGGGAAAATGGCGTCGGAGGCGCTGAGTGGAGAAGAAAGAAGACGCTGACGTTCAGTGACGTTGCGATTGCCCCCACTAGTTGATGATGATGGCGATGCCACTCAGGTTTCGGTTTCACTCCAGTGGTGCCAGCGCTGCTTTATCACACTTTTGTGTAGCAGCAGCCGTCAGCATTTGTCCGAATTAAGCGGTGCGGAGCCGAATTCCGACGAAATAACGAAGGTTTGGTCCCATAGATTAACATGCACTTTGGCCGGGACCAATAGAGCCGTCCGAATTATCCGAATTAATGGGTGTCGAATTAACGAGCTTTTACTGTATTTGTTAGCTTCAGATAATTTGAAACTTTTAATAATTTAAATTCGATTTGAAGCCAATTCGAATACTGCATTATTCGCACAAGCCTAGCTATTGTGGCTGTTTGCAAATGCGTTTTTCACTCCTTTGCACAACACATTTGCCGTGCTTTGCACTTTGTGCGATCTGAGAGTCCAAACTAACAGAGTTGCGGTCAAATATGACCAAATAAACAAGAGTTTCATGCCACTAAATGATGCATACGCCACTTGCCTGGACCAGAGAACACCTTTGAATTGAGAAGTGTCGAATTATAAACTCTTGTAGAGCCAACTGTATTGTTACAGTTGAAGCTTGACTAGCCAAAACCCAACTTTACAAATACCCTGTTTGAACGAACAAACTTGGATTCCCCCTCCAGTTTCCCATAGGGAATTTCGCTTCGGTTTCAAAGAAGTTACCGGTGCAACTAAATATTTCGCGGTTCCCCTCATTTTCGTTAAATCGAGTTTTAGTTATAACTGTGGTTTATCACGTTTCACTCACCAGACTTGGGTAATGACGAAGAGAGTGGAGCCATGTCCATGTACTCGGACAGAGGCACGGGGAGAATCGTCGAGGGGAAGCCCGCGTGCACCACTGTTGGAGAGGAGCAGCTCGCGTGGCCCACCGGCCGCACAGTGGTGCAGCCACTTGTTGACATGGCTCCCTGTGGCTCCATGGACAGGTAGCCCGTGTCAGCCGAAGATGACGGAGCTGCAGTCTTCTCCAAGGAGCTGCTCAGGCTCATCGACCCGACGGGGCTCATGGGAATGTAGCCATCTCCTAGGGTGACAAATGGGAGTCTATCACAAAGCTGCCAACACCACACAAGATGGATACAGCACCGGTTAATCTTGATAAACTTTTTTCCTTGTTTTGCTCAACAGTGAAGAATTAGTTTGGGCTCATGCTCATGCACATTAGCTTAGCATGCATTTCCACACTATCGCACCCCTGCTACTGGGGACTAACAAAAGTCGACTGTGATAAGACGTCGCAACTTCTATATGGTGATCGAAGGAAAGATTTATTTGTAACGCGTGATTGCTGATAAAGCACTGTAATATAATTTCGCACAACATCACCACGAGTAAAACTAACTGCCAGATGTGCAGTGAAAGTTCTCATTTCTTGAAGAAATACGTTTTTTTAATACCTTACATGTGTTTCTTTAATGTGCTGATTCTAAGGGGCAATGTGAAAAGAAATCAACATTGGAAGCAAGTTGATAAAAACTATACATATTACTTGCGCCGTTAAGGGCTAATTGGGGTAAACTACTACCAAGCGACCAGCTGCACGACAGACAGACCTATAAATTGATCAACTCTTTCTAAGCACTCGTGAAAGAAGCTGTACTTGCACAATCAAAGTGTGTACATGACGAATTCTGCAACAAGTCAACATTATCACAGATGACTACTCTGGAACGAGCAATGCATGCACGGGTAACGGAGAGTCACTGTTACGGTTACCACATACGATTTCTGTTAATCGTGCTCATTGCTACTCCTATCCATGTTCCAGCTCAATGCTAAGTGACAGCGCATGCTTCACGTAACTACAGATGGATCTCACATTAGCAGGACTTCAGCCCCAACAAGATTGCAACATCGAAGCCTACGTACAATCGTCAACCAGCTCCTGGGAGATGACATCCCAGGAGCTTTATTTGTGTGCTTTTTTAATAAAAAAATACAGCATATCCAATGCGCTTGATGGCACAGAGGATCACGCACTGTTTGAAGACACATACAAAATAATCTGCAACAAGGGAAGCAGCAATGATGACTCAAAATAAGTGCGGCATCGGCAAACGCGGCATTTTTATGATGCAAGTACAGTGGACTCTCACTAAACGAAACCTGAGGGGATCAGGAGAATGTGTTCCATTTAAGGGGGGACGTGGCAAGTAAAACTAATTTTTTTATTAATGTACTGTTTGTGATGAAGTTTGGTGTGTGTATGTGGATGATTGTGAGGATTCCAAATATGAAAACCGTTTTCAAATACCTCTTGTAGTTTTTGAGTTACAAGCATAATTATACTAATTAATGCTCTTCACACTTAAAGAGATAATTATTGCTAAATGAAATTATTTTTTCATATTATTATGTTCCCAAAGCATCAACTTGTGCAAAGAAGCTATTAGTTGATTTTTCTAGTTCTTGTAACCATAAATAAAATTTCCAAAACATGGATGTTGTTTTGCGCACACATCGCAGTAATTATAAAATGTGTTCTAAAAATTTTAAATGATGAGTAAGAAGAGAGATAAAGCTTTATTGCACTGCTAAAGGCCTCCTGAGCCTAGTGCAAAAAACGGAACGACTCTATCAGTCTTTGTTAGAAAATGACAGATGTTCTAGCGAAGGCACATAGGCGAAAATCAAGAGTTGAGAAAACTGACTTTGAAAGTTCACTCTTGTTTGGAAGTTCACAACATGGCTAAAACACTCAGAATCCTCCTGGGCAGTAATCCTGAGATGCTGTGGCCTTGGCCTCTGTAGAGCGCAACCCAGTTTTGCGCTTCTTTGTCGTGGAACAATGCGCTTTTTGAGCCCTCTTTACCCTTTTGGCATCTTTTTCGGCTGCTCGCCGCAAAGAGCAGTCTCCTGGATTGAAGCCCAGTTGAGCAGTGATCTCTTGCAGCGCACTCTTGCAGCCACCATTGAAACGGCAGACTGCATCTGCAACTGCACTTTCCACACTTCGAAGGGAGGCGAACTGGCTCTTGGACTGGAGTGACCAAATGAGGCTGTTCATACTCTCCACAGCGTTCTGGGTTTTTCCCTGCGCACACCTTTCAAGGAGCTCTTTGTTCGAGAGGCGCTTGTAGATTGGCAGCAGTGCCACTCGCACGTGAGGAGGCAGTTTATGTTTGTGAGGCGGCAGCGGCTCTCCCTTGGCCAATGCCTGATTGTGCGGGCACCAGGAGTCAGTCCCACTTGGGCACAGGTTGTGGTGTGGATCCTGGTCTGTGGATGTTACATGGTAATAAGTGGCCATGATGGCCCTCTCCATGCCAGGAACATCGTTGGGGTGGCTCTTAATGGCCCAGCCATAATAATTCGTCAACTTCTTTATCAGGCCCTGCGTCAGCCGGCCTTTGCCACCCATGCTCAGTCCTCGGCCTTTGGATTTGTGCTCATCAAGAAGGTTGCGCAAGGAAGTGCCCATTCTTTTTTTCACATGGTTCACACACTCCTGTTTCTTAATCACCATGTAGCCATACACCTTGTCTTGCGTGAGGGCAAGGTACGTACGGCTGTCACCGTCGCAGAGCACATTGATGTATCGAAGCTTGTACTTGGTAAACGATCTTTCAAACATGATCCTAGCTGCTTCTACTTCCATTTGGCCTGCATTAGCATCGGTGTTCTTTTGGCACTGTGGCTTGTGTTTCTCAAGCCACTCCTCATAGTTGTCGTCACCAGGCTTGGGGCCAACAGCACAGCCTTGGCAGTAGTTGGACAGGACACAGTGGTCCAAGACCAAGCCTGTGTACAGCTCGATTACACAGCCCACGCCAATACGACTTCTGTGCCCCCTCGTCATCCACGTGCCGTCGTAAATGACGTCAATGTTGCCTGGCACTCCTCCTAGGTCCTTGTAAATGTCATGCACCTTCTGTGCACTTTCTGCTTCAATGCGGGTGGCAGCTGATGTGGTGGCAGGGTGGCTGTACTTCCTTTGCAGTCTCTGGTAGGACTTGTGGTGCAGTGCTCGATGCGAAATGTCCATCGCAGAAAAAATGTCATTTATGGCAGATTGTTTTCTGCCAACTGACTGCACAGCCCTCAAAGCACGCACGTTTACCTCAAAGGGGTTCGTTTTTTGTTGCCCGGAGCACCTCGGGGACGACCACGCACTGTTCACTCTGCCACAATTGTCACAAAAAAGTTCCATCCTCGCCGCGAGTCCAAGGCAGTGCGTAGTCTCGAGGCGTATCGACCCTTCGTCGCACTTGTTGCACTTTACTGACGAAAGCAGACCGTTCAGCATCTTCTTATTTACAATGAAGAATGTGGAGTCCTTACCGCCGTCATTTTCGTCGCAGCCTTCGTTCAGAAGCTCGAGCTTCCGCTTTGAAGCGGACTTCGATGCTACGGCATCCAAAACATCCCGCCTTGTCTGCGCCCGCTGCGCGATTTCTTCACTGCTCGGAATCTGGGCCGAAACTCGCGATAGAATGTTCGACGCGCGCACGCCCGGAGTTGCAACGGCTGCCGACGCGGTGCCACCGCAATCGGGTTCGCGAGAGCGTCCATCACGGTCGACGGCATCCGGCGGTCTGACATACGACGATGTGGCACCTTCCACACTCTCGGCCTCACAACAATCAGCGAAGGGTCTGAGTAGAGGCTCCGTGACGCTCGAAGAGCATGCTCCGTCCGGAACTGCGACTGGGACGGCAGCCGCAGTCGTCTGCCCTTTGTTCCAAGCTTTCCGACGCTTGCCGTACTTGTGGACGCTCCGGAACTTTTTTTGCGGCAACATAGCACCGCAGTATGAGCAAGCACTCAGAAGAGACCACCGATGTAACAAAGCTTGGTAAAAAAAGCACGCGAACTATCACAAAAACAGCAAACTGGCAAAAAACGAAGCGCACGCCGGATGATTCTCGACACGGCGGCCGCAGATGCGCTCGCGCTTCCAAGGTTGCCAAGGTGCGCGGCGCAGCTTTGACCAGTAAGAGGTCGCGCCTGCTACCACGTGACCCGCGCAGCCAATTGCCGTTCTTCGTTTTCGTTTTTTTATTTGCTCCTCGCGCTTTTATTTTCACTCGGCGAAATACGAGACCGCGACCATCGGGAAGCCGGCTTTCTCCTCTTTCCAAAGCTACCAAAATGGCGGCCCACGGTCAACAACTTGGCGCGTTTGTGCGGCGTGAACAACACCGTTTCAGGGGCTTTTTTTTCGCACTTTTTGGCGACTAGCCTCGGCAAAAACACTATTTGCGGGATTTGTAGCGCACGTTTTGCTGTAATATTTTAGAACAAGGAAGTTGAAGGTCTGAAGATTACGAAAAAAAATAAATCAGAAAATCGCATATTTTGACCAAAATCGGCACTTTACTTGCCGCGCCCCCCCTTAACGAGAGTTCCATTTACTGAGATGTGAACTGGGCTGCAGTATGCAGGATTGAAACCAATTATATTAGAGGCAGTTGTTCTACTTAAGCAGGTTTCATTTACAGTTAAACCTGCTTATAACAAACCTCAATATAACGAAGTTTTTCTATTCCCCGCCGTTACTCCATAGAAGCACATGTATTTGCGATCTTTATGCAACAAAGTAACAGCGGAAGACAACCTCGATACAACGAGCTTCGTCCACGGACAATCTAAGAATTTTGCTCCGTATTTTGGCACGAGCATGCATTTTCCGGGGCTGGCCCGCCACCGACGAAGTGTGAAGCGGAGGCAGCGCGCACGGCGCACTAGGCGAGAGCTCGCGGGTGAGCGCGAAGCGGGCAGGCGCCAGCGTTGCCCATGCGCGTGTCCTTGCGGCATAAAACACACACATATCACAATGAGCATATCTACGAAGTGAATGATGATGAGTGGGGACGAAGCGTCCGTCAGCCCGTCTGTGCTTCCGTCTGTCCATTCATTCTTGCTTTCATCCAACCGCGTCACCATCCGTGCGTCCATCAGTCTGACCATCCATGAGTCCGTCCATCCATCTTTCTGTCCGTCCGTCCATCTAGTGAACCCTCCAAGTTCCGCCATCTCCCATCTCACATCCCCTGTGGCACATACCCGCTCTAGAGCGTAATT